GTTGACTTATGCATTTGCACATGGTTTGTCTTAAAGCATATTAAAAACACTACCTATGGGGACTTTAAGAGATTCTGTAATAACCGTTTCTTTCCTACAGGAGAGCGTGAGGCTCTGCTGGGAAGGCTGGCGCAGATGTTGTCCTCCGCGTCCCCGCAGACCGCCGTACATTTCGAGATGGCAAGCTTTGTGGACGAAAGTCTGATGTCCGACCTTCTAGAGTTTGTTCTTCCTCACGCCGACTCTTTGGGCATGAACGAGCAAGAGCTGCCCAATCTCTTGAGCCTTTTCCGCGGCAGCAACTTGACCGTGCTCTCCGACCCCAACCCCCGTGTAGCTACGGTGCTGGACCAGATGAGAGACCTCTACCACCTGGTAAACCAGCGCCACCGCAAGGCCGGGACGGGTCGGCCGCTCACCCGCCTTCACGTCCACACGCTAGCTTTCCAGGCCATCATCGTCAAACGCGGCTCCCAGTGGAAGAACACCATGTCGGCCACGGCCAAAGCCTCTCTGACTGCCAACCGGCACGTCTGCGGCTCGCCGGACATCGACCTCAGTAAAGCACGGCTGATTATGGATGAATCGTTCTCCGTTAGCAGGAGAGAAGGAAGTCAGAGGATTCCGCTTCAGGAATCTCGGCCGGTTTCCTGCTGGGATGAGGACGGCTATGAGATTTGCGTGGCTCCTGTGCTGGTGTGTACAGAAGTCTACCAGACTGCCGGAGGAGGAGACAACATCTCTGCCGCTGGGCTCGTACTGCAGATCTGAATCCGAGACGTCTTCATCCCACATGCTTGGATTTTATTTTGTGATTTTCTTTTTGTTTTGTGATCATTTTATTTTTTTTTGGGGGGGGGGAAACATTGAGACTCATCGTGTGCAATACAAACATTGGGTCCAGCTGATATAAAGTTGGTTGAATCTCTCAAAACCTGTCAACAACATGTCCACGTCTTATTTCACCCATAAATCAAAAATGGAAATGAGAGGTTTTGCTTTTTTACAGTTATTTTCTTGACAGTTAAGCAAGTTTTAACTGTGTTTTTAAATTGTACCACAGTATTTTTTTATTGTAGTATTTTAAAAAATACTGTAGTAATGAGAATATAATGAAAATCACAACAAATACGGTGTAATGGATGCATTGCATGAATGAAAATGTGCTTAATTGTCATGAAAATAATTTCTTGATGCAATAATTTCTAATTTCTCACTTAGATTTGTGTGTGAAATATATAATCTGGGCAGTTAATTGTAAGATTTGCGTAGTTTTCCCACCTATTGTTCATTTGTTTTCAGTTTTCTTTCTCGTTTAGCATATCTTTTCTCTCATCCAGAACCTTTTTGTGTCTTAAAATGGCTTCGTAATCATTCACTTCAAGCACATTAACCCAACAGGGGCCAGTAATCTTGAAATAATATGCAGAAGAATCTTTGAGCGCCCAGAGCTTTTTATATTATGACTGAAATCAATCAATGCAAATGCACAATAATGTCAAGTGGAAACACAGAAGAATTTAGCATCAGCATGACTGAAGTGTAATGGGGTCCACCCGTAATACCTAACATTGCTTTATCCTTATTTGTCACACATTATTTCTCATCATTGGAATATTTTCTCTTTTTTTTTTTTTTAGGATTCCATAGTCATAGTCCACTTTAACAAGAGATTGAACAGTTACACATCCCAAACACTGAAACAAGTCAGTCTTCCGCTCTTATTTACAACACAATGTCTTTAGCTAATTTGTCTGAATTGATGTCTGATTTAAATCACATGTTCTTTTTTATTAAAGGAACATGGCTTGATTTTTAACTCTAAGGAAGGGAAAGTTTATGCCTGGTCATGTTTCTGTGGGTGCATGTATTTCATGAAACCTGACAAAAACGTGTTATACTTGACCCCAAAATCAAAGAAAAATGTATTACAGAAATTACAATTGAAACTCAAGTAAAACATCCATACCGTCATGAAATAACATCATGAAACAAGTCTTAAAGAAAAGGTGTGTTAGTTCTAAATTCACCTTTTTTATCAATGTATTTATTTATATATATATTTATATCAATCAAATGATAAATCACAATTAATCACATTCGAAATAAAAGTTTGTGTTTACATAATATATGTGGGTGCGCTGTGTATAATTATATACACACACATGCATCTATATGTAAGAAAAAAAATATTATTTATATATAAAATATTTATATAAATTATATATAAATCGATACAGTATATACATGAAAATATTTCTTAAATATATACAAGCATGTGTGTGTAATTATATATATAAAATAATTATACAGAATGCACCCACATATAATATGTAAACACAAACTTTTATTTTGGATGTGATTAATCACGATTAATCATTTGACAGCCCTAATATATAGGGCTATATATATTTATTTATATATATATATATATATATATATATATATATTTTTTTTTTTTTTTTTTAAATAAGAACAGGAATATGTATGAATGTAAATATATTATACATGCATAAATATCTGTTGTGTTCAGAGGGGTCATAGTAAAACAATAATGTCACAGTTCAGAGCAGAACAATTGCCAGAAAAGGTCAAAAACAATACATGAACACATGAAGAAAAGTTGTATTTTGTTTTATTTTGTGTTTTATCAAATGAGGAATTATTCTTGCAATGGATGAAGTATAGCCCAAACCACTTATTTTCTAATGGACATGTGCATAAACTACCTGCGTGTTTGTAGTTTCGGGAGAGGGATTTGAAGAACTTGGTCATATCTGCCGTGATCACAGTTGTTGGTGTCTCTTTTAACAGATTCGGAAATATCGAAGCAAGTTTGGGCTCTGGCTCCCTTTCATCACATCTTCCACCGGTCACCCTGAGTGCAAATTATTACCTACCTCCTGTGCCTACGAATATATCCAGCTTACCTGATGTCCATAATGATTATATTGTATACCTAGAGTGCTTGTCTATGCTAGTGTAACCCGATATCAGACAGGCGATGGAAGTTAAAGATGTCCCACCCTATCAGGATGTGTGCATTGAGACGCTCTCCAGCTGATATATGAAATATGTCTCAGGGATCACAGTAGCCTGGATGTCTATGATCCACAATACTTGAGTTAGAATTAAATTAGCTGTGACAGCTGGTGTGATTCTGGTCTGAGCCTGCAACATATTGACCAACCGATGGTCCAGTAGATTTGAAGAATCTTTAGTGTGAAAAATAGCAATGGATATTTTGTTGTGAATGTGATTCTGGTGTCGATGATAATGGTTGACGCATGTCTAAAGCAATTGTAGCATTGGAATTTGTTTGGGAATGGTGGTAGTAGGAGTTTTTTGTGTTGTCCTGCATATGCTGGAAATGAGTTGTTGTGAAATGCCTTTTTCTCTGTCCTTCTTTTGTCTTGGCCTGCATATGCGGTCTGTCAGCAACAGCTGTTCTGAAGGGAAAAGACTCATTTCTGAATGACTTCTTTGGATTTCTGTGTAATAAAATATTACATTCCATTTATGGTACTCTGTTGTGTGTTCCAATTATTTTGTGGACATTTTAATTAGGATATTTTGGTATGGTTGAGGACAAAGTAACAGCTTTAGTTTGCTTGTACGTAATTCATGTAAACTAATTATAAATAGGGCCTAAAACTAACACATTTTTTGCCACACCTGCAATGGCCGGTGACTGAAGGGAAATGACCAGCTAGCAGCTATAAATATTTTATACCAGCCATGAAACTGTTTTTTGCAAAAACAGTCAGTTATGACTCCAAACTTTTGGATACCAGTGAAAATTCACAATTTTCAGGTTCCAAACTGTAATAATCAAATGTAAAATAACACTGCACAGATTTTACTGTTTAAGTTAAACACAGATTAATCCTCATTAAAGTAAAATAAATAAATAGTCAAGAGCAGTGATTTTTCTCTGTCTTTTGTTGTTTGATTAAGGACACAGACAGCAGCAGGAATTAGGCTGGTGTCACTTTAAGAGCTAATGCACGCATATTCATACCATAGGATTGATACACATGTATCATATTTCTCAACTAGAGGTTTTTCACGCGCAGGAAGACATGAAAGAGAGTTTGATTAAGTATTCGCACACTGTCTGAGATGCAGATGTTTCGTTAGTTTTAATATTTAAATCGGCAAGGCTTAAACTTTTGTGATGATGCAGCACTGTCCGGTCAACTGTCCCCGAGGATCATTCACTTTTGTCCAAGTTCATGTTGTCACAAAATTGCATTGTAAGAATAGAATGCGTATTACCGGCCAACTGAGATGTTTATTAGTATTTGGCGCTTGGTGAGAGTTAATTTTAGGCCATATTTAGCCTATAAGTATATTTCTAACTAGAAGTAAAAAAAAAAAAGAATTCATTTGAAGTATTATTATTATTTACAAAAATAAGCATGTTTTGTGTAAAATAAATTGAGTGTTGATGTCATTAAAGCAAATAGAGACATGCCAAATTCTATGATTTATAAATGTTCTTTTAATTGTTATGTTGATCATTTGTAATAAGAAAACAATGGAAAATAGTAAATAGAAGAATTTCATAAGTGGTATCAGACGTGGATGCAAACTTCAACTCCTTAGATTTGAAGCCCACTACAAGATACAAATATTTGCAAGTTTAAAGTTACAAATGATTATGTGGAAAAAAAAAAGATACATACACGTTAAATAACTTAATGTATGTATAATAAGCATAGACAGTAAAAGAGATAATACGATAGCTTAATTTTCCGCAGCCTAGGCTATACTGTAGTTTTCATAGTAATATATTTTCTTGTATATGTGTCTTCTCGTATGTTTATTTTGAAGTTATAAAACTCGAAATCTGAAAATGTAAATATATTAAATAAGACAATGTTCTTCACATCTCAGAAAATAACGTTTCTTTTTTAGTTTTCCACTTTTATTGTGAAAGACTGCGGCTCTTGCCCTCCGAGAACATCTGATTGGTCGATATTGTGTCCAATCACAGAGCTCGTTGATTGCGGGTGCCAGAGGGAGAGCCGAAGCGCTGTAGAGTGAATCTGCGGCTGCTAATGCTGAACACTTACCTAACGTTTATAGTTTATCACAGTCCGTCAAAATGAGCTCTATTGGGACCGGGGTGAGTGGATTCACTAATACAAAATTTATCACAGTATTTAAACGAGATATGATCCAGCAAGAGTGATTCATTACGGAATGCGTGTATGTCTGTGTCATTCTAAGCTAAAGCTAACAAGCTACTCCTAGTGTGCAGGATCTGTATTAGTGTGTTGTATTCACTTCCAACCCAATTAAAGTTAATAAAAGTGTTTTCATACACAAGTAGCTTAAAATATTTGTATATAAATGGGTTATTTGTGCGTTTTCTGCTCTATTTTGCTCCTGCTGCTGAGTCACTGCTCGATTACAATGAATGATAGCAGTTCAAATGAAAAGTCTCTGAGGAGGCAAAGTGAAAGTAAATTGGATGTGCACTGCGAAAGCTGCTTTGCTACATTTATTTAGCCTAATCGATGCACAGCTTTGTCTTTATTATTGCAGGGATTAAAAACTATCTGAATTGGTAATTTATTTAAAATGAACTCAAGCTATGATTTTGACAGCAGTTCTCTTCTCCCCCATCCAGTATGATTTATCCGCCTCCACCTTCTCACCTGATGGAAGGGTATTTCAGGTGGAATATGCCATAAAGGCTGTAGAAAACAGCAGGTAATTAATTAACCATTATTACTACACATTAAAAAAAAGCATGATACATTTTAATATGCTGCTCTGAAAGGTTTTACCCCATCCATTTTAACGTGATAACACCTATAATATCTGTGTTTTGCTTTTGATGTCTAATAAACTGGAAGTTCTTATTAATTAATTTAATAATTTTGTGCTAAAAAATCTTTTTTTTTATCATTCATCAGCACAGCAATTGGCATCCGCTGCAAAGATGGAGTCGTGTTTGGCGTAGAGAAGTTGGTGCTGTCCAAGTTGTATGAGCAGGGCTCCAATAAACGCATCTTCAATATTGATCGGCACGTTGGAATGGTGAGAACATTGATCATGTTGTTTATTAAAAGTAATTTATCTTCAGTAACTTTTTTAACTATTTGAGTTTACATACTCGGATTTATGTCTATGGCAGTGAATTATTAGATTGTGTCTCATAAAATGCTACGGTTCCTTTATTGTACTTTTAAAAGCAATTACATCCATGTGAATATTTGGACATTTTGCATGCTAAACCTTTACACTGGTGGTCAAAAAGATTGAAATAAGAATGTGTAAGTCTCTGATGCTCAGCAAGGCTGAATTTATTTGATCAGAAGAACAAATAAATCAGTAAAACAGCAATATTGTGACACATTACTGTTTAAAAGAACTGGTTTCTGCTATATTATAGTGTAAAATGTAATTTGTTCTTGTGAAAAGCTGAATTTTCAGCATCATTATGCCAGTCTTCAGTGTCACATGATTCTTCATAAATTATTCTAATATGCTAATAATTCTAATATTAATTATTCTAATATTCTTTATTTAATCTTCGGTTTATTATTATTAAACATATTCTTATAATTGTTTTCTGGATTATTTTAGTAGAAAATTAGAAAACAGAATTTATCTGAAATGGAAATCTTTTGTAACATAAATCTATTTACTGTCACTTTTAATCATTTTAATGCATCCTTGCTGAATAAAAGTATTAATTTCTTCTTTTATTAAAAAAAATGTCTCCCAACATTTGAATGATAGAGTAAATCTCTACATATGAACCCTGTCTATGTGTCTTCTAGGCTGTGGCTGGTCTTCTAGCAGATGCACGATCTCTCTCTGAAGTGGCCAGAGAAGAGGCCTCAAACTTCCGCTCCAATTATGGCCATGACATCCCACTGAAGGTAAAAGAGAGAGTACAGCTGTAGATCACCCAGAAATTAGCACTGTAATTTCATTTTTTCACCGTAAATAATTTCCTCACACTAAAATTATTCAAATGTGTGTGATCCAAAGAATGGAAACTCTTTGAATAGAAACAATCTGAAATGAGATTCTGGTCATTGATGTACTCTTATTATCTAATCAGCATCTTGCAGAAAGAGTGGCCATGTATGTCCATGCTTACACATTATACAGCGCTGTGAGGCCTTTTGGATGCAGGTAGGTCTTCTGTACATTTTTTATTATATAAGATAGGAAGAGCTTTATATATATATATATATATATATATATATGTATTAGTGTGTTTAACATGTTTAATTCTTTACCCTGTCAGTTTCATTCTGGGATCTCATGATGAAGATGATGGTCCACAGCTCTACATGGTTGACCCTTCTGGGATTTCATACGTAAGAGATCTATTATAAATAAATTATCACTTTTAATCAGTACTTTAATACTTAAAGTTAAATTAAAAATTAAAACTCTATCATCATTTACCCCCCCTTAGTCGTTCCAAACCTATAAGATGTTCATTCATCTTCGAAAAACAAGTGAAGATATTTTAATGAAATCTGAGAGATTTCTGTCCCTCCATTGAAAGTCTGTTCACCTAAACCTTTGATGCTTTAAAATGTTCATAAAGAGATAGTAAAATATCTCATTTTATATAATGAACAAATTGAATTTAGTATTATTAACATATGTGGTGATGAAGTTCATTTCTGCATGTTACGCCACACGTTTGATCTTCCGCAAGAACCAATGAGGTTTGTTCGGTTAGAATCGCGGATTCGTGCATTTGCGTGTGCCATGTAAGCAGACAAAACGGATATTCCCCAGTAAATGCGAGTCGTACGTCATTAAAAAAAGTGACGTCAACTCAGATGGACACCACCAACTGAGATCACATGACTTACTATATGCGCGATGGAGGACGAAGGATACACACAGTGGAGTGATGTGGAGATTTCATGTGTTTTGAGTGTTTGGGGCGAAGAGTGCTGGCAAAAATGCTGGGTTGTTACAGAAATAAATCCGTATTTAAAGACGTTTCAGGAGATATGGGGATATGTTTTGCTGACTTCTCAAAATATTGTGGAAAGCAAAACTGCATAATTTTATTTGCATCTGCATCCATTGCATTTTGTGCTGTTTTACTCCATTTTCCGGGTCAGAATGTCTACATTTGGTAGTTTCAGCAGTGTATAGTGTAAATGCAAAAATCGGATACGGGTCACTTTTAAAAGATGACGTAAGCCGTCGTCAAAAAATTCGGTCAGAAAATGATTTTCTTATATGGTCAGAAAATCATATTTGGGCATCAAGACCTGCAGTGTAAATGCAGCCGTCGACTTGTCGGATGTACGTTTTCTGTAGAGCTCGCTTTCGTGCTGGCTCAGCAAAAGTGCCACATCAAGGGCTATTATGGGCTGCAAAAGACAAACCTACAATGACAAATGGGACGCCCTACGGTCTTGTGGACTGAACAGACATACGCACAAGGTGGCTAACCTTGGTAGCTACATAAATCTAGTTCTTTAGCCAAATGTAAGTGCAAATGCAACAGAACTTTAATGTTACCTTTGTGGTCAAGTTGGAGTGACCACAAATGGAAAAGCAGCTAAAATGTGTCCAGCACACGCAAACTCCTTAATTAGTGCAATAAAAAGTGCAGATTGTACATTTGTTTTCATTAACCTCAACTTTCCCTTTGTCATTAATGTTTGTTAGGGTTACTGGGGCTGTGCTATTGGAAAAGCCAAGCAAGCTGCCAAGACAGAAATTGAGAAACTACAGGTATGTGTTATCTATTTAGACCTTACGCACCAGAGAAACAAGTGTGTGGTCATCTTTTGAATTTTATGTGATTTATCATTTTTTCTATTGTTGCGGTTGCTATGTATATTTATATGGCATCAAAGAGTAATTAGCTGGTGAAGTGAATTTACTTATTGTAGAGATAACGAAAGTTATCATGAGCATTGTAATGGTTGAAGCAGATGTCATAAGTATCATAAGTTAGATTTTAAAACTAGCGGATTCATTCATTAATCGTTCATGCTGTGGAAATACAAACCTGAGAAAGAAACAAGCAAAAACTAAATGAGTGCAGCGCTGAAATTGGGTTGCTATATTCATCATTTTGTAAAGAGCTTTCAGAAAAGCACATACATTTTGCCTTACACTACTGTTCAAAAGTTTGAGGTTCGTAAATGAATACTTTTATTTAGCAAGTATGAATAAAATGTATTAAATGGAAAGACACTTTACTAAAAAATTGTAATTCAAATAAAAGTTGTACTTTTGAACTTTGTTCATCAATGAATCAAAAAATATTAAAAGTGTTTTCAACATTGATAAATGTTTCTTGAGCAGAAAATCATCAGATTTCAGATCACGTGACACTGAAGACTGGCGTAATGATGCTGAATTCAACTTTGCATCACAGCCATAAATTACATTTTAAGATATATGTTAAAATTGAAAACTGTTCAATTGTAATATTTCTTAATATGAAGAGTTCAGATGCAAAAGCCTCTAAATCCCATTTGAAATTTTCTTCTTTAATGATGATTTTTATCAAACTTGTATATTTAAGTTCAGTAATTTCACTTAAATGGCAATGATAATTACCTATTAATTGTTATTTAAGTGAAATTACTGAACTTAAATATACAAGTTTGATAAAAATCATCATTAAAGAAGAAAATTTCAAATGGCATTTAGAGGCTTTTGCATCTGAACTCTTCATATTACTTAATGTTTGATCAAATAAGTGTAGCCTTGGTGGGCATAAGAGACTTCTTTCAAAAATATTAAAGAGACTTTCTGTGCCCAACCTTTTAAACGGTAGTGTACATCTACAAGTGTTCATAGTATCTCCAGGGTTGTAGTACAGAAAGTTTTATTGTCGTTTATTTGTCAGCACACACTTCGATAGATCTTTACCCATAACAGTACAGCTGTGATGTTTAGTGATAGCATGTTTGGTAGTCTTTCTTTGAAACAAGTTCAAACAAGAGTCAGCTACTTCCATGTCTGCAGAGACCACATCATATAAGCAGTCTTAAAGAAGTAACAGCATTTATGCCATCAGAAGTTTTGTCATTTCAAATCAATTACAGTATTAGATTCCTTTAGCAGGATTTTCATGTTAATGTCAACAGATTGTGATTAAACGTCTAAAGGTTAAATCCTGTAATTTATTAATTTATTTTTATTTCAGATGAAAGAAATGACCTGCAGAGAACTGGTGAAGGAAGTGGCAAAAATGTAAGTGTTTTGTTTCTAACTTAAAATGGAGAAGTCCAAATTGAATGCATCGTTCATAGCCAACACAAGAGAGCAGTAGAGGTCCATGAAAACAAACCAGTCGGACTACTAGTATTGAGTTGTGTCAGCTGAATTGTTTTCTTATCTGTTAGGTTGCTGAGTTAACAATAATGTTGGGTACTAATGAACAGGGTTCCCACCCCTTTTGACCAGTCAGTTTAAATGACTTTTACATGACTTTTCGCAGGCATTGATGGGCTATTGCATACACACACTTTAAAGAGATAGTTCACTTTGAAATTAATTTTTGGAATGTTTTAGCTTACCTCAAGGGCATCCAAGATGTAGGTGTCTTTGTTTCCACAGTATTTTCAATTGAATTGAATTTCAATTGATATTTTTAGATCAAACCGTTATTGTCTGTCAATCATATAATGGAGGCCTATGGTCACCACCTCAAAGAGCATGCACAGAGAAGTCCAAATTAAACATGATTTAATGACTTGTAAATGTAAGTACACATTGATGGCCTAAGACACGAAACGAGCGGTTTGTGTGAGAAAACGAATAGTATTTATATAGTTTTTTACCTCTTGTAACCACAGCCACGTCCAAGTGATCTGATACTACGCAAGCGCTGGAAAGCGCCGTAAGTGATCTCTCACGCGGTTGAGAAAAAAAAAATCAACGTTGTATGTTGATATATCGAAATCGTCTTCCATTGCAATTTCCTGTATATCTAAATATGTTTAGATATTCACAGTGAAGGGTAACGCTTCTGAAATCTCTGTGTAAACAATGAGTGATGTAAACGCGTGAGAGAGATCACCTCCGGCGCTTGGGCAGACCGAAGTTCCCGTGCCCTCAGTGTACTTGGACGTGACTGTGATTACAAGAGGTATAAACAATATAAATACTGTTCGTTTTCTCACACAATCCGCTCGTTTCGTGTTTTAGGCCATCAATGTGTACTTACATTTACGAGTCATTAAATCATGTTTAATTTGGACTTCTCTGTGCATGCTCTTTGAGGTGGACCCCATAGACCTCCATTATATGACTGATAGACACAAACTGTTTGACCTAAAAATATCAAAATTGAAAATACTGTGGAAACAAAGACACCTACATCTTGGATGCCCTCGAGGTAAGCAAAAACATATCAAAAATTAATTTCAAAGTGAACTATCCCTTTAAATGTTAAATCATCTTATTGAGATTGCACTCAAAATTCTAACCAGTATGTTTAAAATTTAGATCAGAGCATAAATAATACACAATAAAGAAGTTCTTGTCAGTGACTTTTCCAGTGACTTGTAAAAATTCTGTTTCCTAGCTGTCCATGATTGTGGGAGCCCTGAATTAAACATTTATAACATGGCATATCTATTAAACATTTTATATTTATACATTTTATAACTGTGTGTGTGTGTTTTGTCATCTCTTCTCAGTATCTATATCGTTCATGATGAGGTGAAAGACAAAGCCTTTGAGCTGGAGCTTAGCTGGGTTGGAGAAGGTAATGACAGGCTTTTATATTCTAATACTCAGTCTATTGTGAATTTTTACTTAAAATATCTGATTTTTTTTTACTCAACTGACACAAATCGGAATTTGTTGCACATGTGTAAACACAAAAATCAGCACGAGATCGAATTGTTTCGCATCCGCTCTTCCAAATGTGATTTTTATTCAGATACATATTCATTATCTGAACATCCGACCTATGTCTAAACGCATATATCCGATTTCCCCCTTGCAATTCCAATCCACCTCAAGGTGAGAGTGATACGTCTGCTCACTAATGGCTCGTTTCCACTGAGGGGTACGGTACAGTACGGGTCGGGTACACCATGATCAGGCTTGCGTTTCCACCGCCAACAGTACCCTTACTTGATAGGCGTGGTATGCTGGAAAGAAGCGATCGACGTCATTTTCGCGCGAAGAAAGCGACATAGTAAGCAACAATGGATGACAGACAGACAGCAGATCTTGTTCTTGCTTCTCGGCATGTTTGTCACTAGAAACAAGCGCTGGCATTAGGCGTTTCCAAGAAGCCAACGCAAAGTCCGACTCAGGAGAATGATCACGAGGACGCGAGTCCAGTAATTCTGTTAATGGAAGAGCGCGTTCTTGAACGCGGCACTCTGCTCGCTCGGGCTCTGCGACTCCGGTTATCTCTGTATGTTCATTTTAGGCTACAATAAAACGAAATATGTTATAAAACACCACTCTGCTTCTTTTCGATTCCATTTCAATACATTTTAAATAGGGATGTCCCGATACCACTTTTTCACTTCCGATACCGATGCCGCACCTTTGGCTTTTGCCGATACCGATATTAGTCCGATATTTTTTTTTTTTCGTGGTCCGACGTGCCGTATACGGCCCACAGGGTGGTTTATAGGTTTAACTTTGTGAAAGACAAAACAAAACAAACACAAAAGTAAACATAATACATATCTTTGGAAAGCTGAGAAACTCGTGATTCGAACGACGTAAACCATTTTAAGATACAATCAACACAGCGGGCACAATCTGTCTCTTTGTCAGACCACCAACAGCCAAAACAAACCAACACAAACTGGAAGAAACTCACCAATTAGCCATCTGTTAGTCCACATTCCAACAAAAATGGTTTGGTTTCACTGTAAAGCGTCCATACAATCCAATTTGAAGAAGTTTTTAGTCCAAAACAATTGTATATATGAATAAACATCCATGGAATGTAAATAGTAGCATTTCGCGTTAGCCGACAGCGCTATCACAACTATTGATCCGTCTAACTTGAACTATTGATTGACAGGTCATTTTAGCCAATCGGCGAGTGTTAGGGGTGTCTTCTAAACTCCAACAGCCAACGAGCGTGCCTGGTGAAGATCGGTACCTACCTCTCTTTGAGTGACAGTTTATCTATCCAGTTGCAATAGAGAATGAAATGACGCTATTTTCTGATAGCCAATGAATTTCTGAAAAGACTGAAATGCAGCTTTTGTTGGTGGAATCATCCGATTACATTAGAAGCCGTGCGCAAAGCGAGAGTGATTCTCTGCGCGCGTGTGCGTAAACACAACAATCATCACGTGACAGGCTGCGCCGCTAAACTGGATATCGCTCATATTTTTTTCTCCCCTCCGATCTCCGATCTAGCGTTCTGGGCCGGTATCGGCGCGATACCGATGCCGTGGATCGGATCGGGACATCCCTAATTTTAAACATTCTAAAGCACATAAATGTGGTTCAGGCAAGGCATAGCCTATTGATTATCACTGCATGCATGTAAGTTAACGTTATATTTATAACAAAACTAAATATAAAACAACCCTGCCTCTTTTCGTTTAAATTTAAAAATATTAAACATATTCCAGGCAATATGTAGCCTTATGTATTGCATATCGCATTGGTACAAATGTTGTAATAAACAACATTACAGATGATCTTGTAATACAATAAAAAAAAAATGACAATTATCTCTTTTTGTTGAATTTCAGTTTTATCAATAATAGCCATTATAAAAGTATACGTAAAAGGTACAAAATACAGTAAAGCTTGAATAATATCAAGAAACAATTCAGTCAGTCAAATATACAAATTCAGCGCTCAAAGATATGAAACTTCACGTAGCCTTCTGCCAAAACTATTGGCCAGGAAACGAATTATAGATTCACGAGACCAAAGATCACCTGTTAGGTTTATACAAGACGAACTATATCTCGTGTTTAACCACTACAGAGACGTCCGAGTCAGCGGAAAACATCAGAACGACTAGCCGAGGAAAGGCTGTTCCAGGCGGGGGACACGAGCGCGAGCGTCCGGTGATCGCTTGGAATGGATATCAGTCAAATTATCAAAAATCTATAAATAAACCACAGATTTGATGTTTAAAAAACTACTTTCTCGCTTGAAAAAGTCTTAACTATATTTCGTGACACAATAACAGTAGAATTATATTTCAACTGTATGCTTCTAATGCCCTTGTAGCACGCGCGAGTGACGATACTCTGTCCACCAATCACCGTTCTGCAGTGAGTCTAGTGAGTCTTAGTACCCTTTCACTCCCAACGGAAGGGTACCCAAAAAGTGGTACGGTACGGTTCGGCTTTTTGGTACTATTCACAACTTTTGACAGTGGAAACGCAAATAATTGCGCACCGAACCGAACTGTATCGTACCACTCAGTGGAAACGAGCCATAAGATAGCTTTTTAATGTTGTGTTATGAAGCAGATGTAAAGAAATTGCACACACACAGAAACATCAAGGGGCATAGAAACTGGTTTTCAACATCTGCCCTGTGTTTTTTTTATTTTTTATTAAAACAGCTTCGCTACTGAAAGCTACATTATATTTCTCAGCAATGAGATAACTACTGTTTTTGTAAATACATTTACAAGCTTAGATGCATGCAGACAACTCTCTCTCTTACTTTCTCTTTAATTCATTCAAATCAGTTCAAATAAATAAAATCTTACTGATCTAAATAAGTAATTTTCTGGTCGATATCCATTCAAATATTCCATGACAGCTTTTAACTTGCCCATGTTGGCAAATAATCATAGCTATTGACCACCCATACGACATAGTACGGCCTTTCAAAACCCAAGGGTCAACCATGTCACATAGTAAAGCGATCGCCGACCGAAATATGTTGGCGGGGATAAAATGTAAACACGGTTATCAGATACATCTAAAGTGAACGTAAACAAGTGGGACCACAAAAAAAAAAAAAGACGAATATGGTCAAAAGATCATCTATGCGCATAAAGACTTAGTGATGCAGCCTTTACTGAATCTTTTAGTTTTTGGAGAATATTTGTAATCCTCTACTGCATTTGTGTTCAGTGCTGCATTTCTCATAAAACCCCTTTCATCATTTTGTTGTATATTATATTGTAATTTAAAACTTTTTTTAAATAAATATTTTAAAATTGTTCAATATTGCTTTGTTTTATTTTTTATCCTTGATTTAATTGTGCATCAACAGTAAAAAAAAAAAAAAGAAAAGAAAAAAGGAATGGTTTTATTCTTATATATTTTTGTCCCTCTTATTAGTCACTAAAGGAAAGCACGAGCTTGTCCCGAAAGACATCAAAGAGGAGGCGGAGAAATACGCTAAAGTAAGTAACTGTTCCACTGGTAATAGATAATATAACAAAAGCTCTCTTCAGTGTTGGCTTATTGTCACATTTCTGTCCTGACAGGAATCCCTGGAGGAGGAAGATGACTCTGATGAGGACAACATGTAAACGCAGTGTTGCAAACCTCTCTGTTTTTCCACTTCACTGACTGTGTACCATGTTTCAAACATTCTGGCAACTTGACTGCAGACAATAAAATGTTTTTTATGTTTTCTAATGGACTATGTAGTCCTATGTTTTGTGGGTTTCAAACTTAACAATAAATACGCTTTATAAAACTGAAAGAAGCTCTGATTGAGACTCCTAAATTGGCATAATTACTATTCATTAGTTGGGCAGCAAGCTTAGACAAAGCATAGATTGATATTTATGCACACCCTGTCTAGAGAATGTGTACATTACTAGGTTGGATGTAAGGCACTAAAGACATTATGCATTCTGGTGTGTAAATAAACAGTTCATCTGCAATACGCTGCAAGGATTTGACCCCGAGTTAATGGTTAGCTTAGTTGTGCCAGCCACTAGCATATGGAGCTTCAAAGCAATCCCAGAACATTATAATTTACTTTTTAAAATTGCCATCCATGACATTGTAACCCAAGCATGCATGCATGATATAGTATTGGAGTTAAAACAAAAGTGACTAGGTCTTAACTTTCCATTACAGCAGCTCTGAGGGTAACACACTGATATTTAGCATTGGGAAGTACACTAGCAGTCAAAAAGTTTGAGTACACGTACACCTGCTCATTCATTATTATTACTAATTTGCTATTAATCTAAAATGTGTAAGGCCATCAAACTTGTGTGAAATTTCAGAAAAGTAAGGGATGAGTATGCTTTAGTAAAACAAAGTTTAAAACATTTGAGAGAGAATTGTTTTTACAGAACAAATTTCAAGTATTTCAGCAGATGCCTTTTGATCAAAGCTTATGAAAAACATAATCCAAACGTTACACTAGCAGTGCTTAGACCATTGAGGGAGCTTTGTATCGTTTTTATGGCCTTTGAGGCCAAAGCTTTGCACGTGACCTCTATTTTTAGCTCTGTGTTGCTGACTACCTCTTATTTGGAAAGTAGAGTTTGAAATTAATGTTGCTTTACGGTCCCATAGATTTATTATGTAATGTGTGTGTGCTTATAGATTAATTTACAAGCTGATTAATGCATAGGCAAACTGACAGATTTATTGATCAAAACACAATATACACATATATAATAAACAACTTGATCAACATTGCATAAGTATAAATTATTTTCTGATCCTGTTTATACAATAAATAACTCTAAAACATAAAATTCTACTGGTCCAGTCGCTGAGGTAACTTGAATCAAACACAACACATCATAAACAAACATTAACACCCAGTGAAAATCTCACTTCTGATTCACAATCACACATCTTCAATATCGTAAGAGTAAAACAAGCATTTCAATGACAATCTAATGCATAATTTGAAACCACGCAGGTGTCAAAAATTAGTATCTAACGTGACACACACATGCTTACTATGACGCTGTGTTCCGGTCACGTGGTCAACAAACCCATGACGCCAGACGCTCTCCATAAAGACGCCATTACCGTTGCCTTCAATTGACCTTTTCTACACGACCGCATTAAAACTATTAATTGGTGAAATATTTGTTATACAAATTGCATAAAGAACAAATTAAATTTAAATCGAAGCTGAGGTTGTTCAATCTGGCTTGAAAAGCAGGCAAAAAAGTCACCGGGCTCACCGCGAAATCTCACGGGCTCCGAGTCCAGAATGCGAAAATAATTACGTTGGGTACAAAATGGCGAATGTTCTCTTCGCTTCGACATGCGCAGACTGAGCAGAGGCTTTCCCTCTGAAATGAAGCTCCGTTCCCACACACCCTTCCAGCCAATAGGCTTAGCTGAAGGCACGCATCTGACTCAATTCGACCAATCAGAACCGTGGACAACGCAGAACAGGAAACAAGTAGCCAATCGGGGACCAGGATGGATTTGTTGTATTCGCAAAGAGTGCGACTCAAAGAACACCAATGAGAAAGCGTCATTCGCAGCGCCGCTTTCATACTCCGCAATCAGGTTTCGCGCTTCAGCCTAGCCAATAGAATTTCTCTTAGCAGTCAGCCAATCGCAATGTTCTGAATTTGCTCACACTGGCCCCGTAAGCCAATAGGGATCCGAGAAACACAACCTCAGCTCAACAGCTTGTTATTTCGTCTATGCCTTTGCAACCTAGTCGAATGCTGAGCTGAAGCAGTCATATAGGAGCATGTAAGTACACATATATATTTCCACACAACATTCATACACCGATTTTGCCTCAGTAAACCTGTATATCCACGCGTGTCTCATTTAAACCCGCTAGTCTGAAAGTAATCCAGTCATATTTGCCGTTTTCCCGTGGTTTCCAGCGAAGGTATTTAGGCGACGAAGAGAAAAAAAAAATTGAATGGCAGAGCCTAGTCACATCTAGTCGGCTTGTTTTCTCATAGATTTTACCCGACGACTTTTACTTAAACTAACCACTCAAAACCGATCATTTTATAGTAAAAAACTTCAAACTCAGTTTGAAGGGAAAAGTCGCCTCACATATTGTTGCGGAACTAACCCGAAGAACTATTTAAATCGCCATAACAGCTTCACTATATTTAGCTCAACCGTCACAATTTGATTGACAGGCGTCAATAACCATAATAACTGTCAGTTTGACGTTCTTCGAACTCAGATACTTCGGTAAATATAGTGTTAAGTGAGGGAAAACGGGGGTTAGTGGATGGTGGAGGGGCTGACATGGTGCAGGACGGTGTGTGAGCTATGATGGCGACGTGACACACACACACACACAGTGAGTGAAGCGGGAAGGAAACACGCAGGGTTTGAAGGGGTTATGTTTTCCTTCAGTGACTCCGTGCTTTGTTTTTACATCATAAAGACATCGTAAGTGGCTCAGATTGGAGGCAAAGTCACGGTGAGGCAGTTAAGGCTTTGTTTTGATGGGTTGGTCTTGTTTATTTGATCATTTTGAAAGGGATAAGGACGAGAAGAGGCTAGCTGCGTTAGCTCCTTTAGCATTTTCTCTGTTCTGTGTTTGTGTTGTGCTGTCAAATTCTTCTCACACATACAAATGACTCGTTTTTTTTTAGCACATGGCGCCAGATCGTGACTGTTTCTTTCTGCTTGTGTGTTGTTCTGTTTCAGCAGTCGAAACCAATCGAGCTGGACTCCCTCAAATAGCCATCAAGATGAAGGTGAGTCTCTGCAGTTTTGATAGGCGACGCCTCCCTAAATGAAGCCCAGCAAGCATCTGGAACAACACACTTAAATGAATAAATCATATATGGATGTTTTTTTTTTTGTATAATAGCTAACCAGAGATTATGAGAAGCTCAGTAACAATGATTGAGGTAGTCAGTCTCTATAAGTGCTTTCTGAATAACCAAGATTGTACTTGTACTTAAGTGCTGTTACTTGAAGTATTCTTCTTAGACGCTTTTGCACATGCTTTTCATATCCATGACCATGCAAAGAGCAAGTGTTGGTATGAATCTGTCTATGCACCTTAATAATATTTACACTGTTCACAGGTAGCAGATGAACCTGCCTACCTGACTGTGGGGACGGATGTGAGCGCAAAGTACCGTGGTGCCTTCTGCGAGGCAAAAATCAAGACTGTTAAACGCATGGTAAAGGTTAAGGTACGTTTAATCTGCATGACGAATACATGGTTGCATCAAAGTCAATTTTATTTCTATAGTGCTTTTCACAATACACGTTTTCAAAGCTTTACAGAAATGCATTAGCTTAAAGTTTATATGATCTTAATTCCTTATAGTCACAATTTAATGATATAGTTTATATTTTGCAATGCTTTGAGGTTTGCTCTTTAGTATCTTGCTTTACTTGAGTATACTGTATTCATGTTGATAAAGTATATATGCAATTTTAAGCATTTCCCCAGGTAATAATATTGTTTACATTTTTGTGATGATAATACATCAAGCAGTTGTGATTAGCTTAGAAATATATACTTTCAAATCTTTGTCCCTTTTAAATAGTCCTTGGTGTGTGTTTTCAGCTAACAATCATCTTTGAGCTTTATATATTAGTTTACAAAAATGTGAAAAAGTTCAGAGTTCACATGCAGCTTATGTCAAGCTAGTGTCAGATGACATAGAGGGTAAACACAGTTTTCCAAGTGTCATTTTCTGCTGGTGACAATGCAGAGATTTGTTTCTATAAAAGGGTTCTGTTGCTTTTATGCAGAAGTGTTTGGTGCATTTTACACCGCATGCTTCAGTAATGTCACAGGCCAAAGGAAAACCATTTAACAATCCTGCTTTGTGAGCTACCTTTGCAGACCAAACTTCATCTGTGCAGAACGTCCATCTTTTCACAGAGTAGTCTAATCGTAAGCTTACAAATGGCGTAATTTTGATCAGCACCTGCCAATCACAAGTATGTTGTTTTAGGGTTAATCCATAAACTGGCATTTTTTGCAAGACCTCATTCTACGTTCTATTCAAGGTCTTGGTTTGTGGCAGTACTTTAAACTAGTGAAACATGACTGCCTTGGGTAACAGAGAGCCACACATACCTGTTATTTGTGTTGCACATTCTCAAGTATGATTGCAAGGAAATAGTTTCTCTTTACATTGTATGTAGGCACTCACTAAGAAGCTTGTTTAAGAGAGATCATGAAGAAAATGCCGTCTGTTACACAACCAGATTACTTCACCTTCACTGAGCTGTCTCACCATCCATGTTACTGTCTTACCATCCATGTCACTCTCCCCCTCATGCTTTTCATCTTTTTCTATATATACTCTTATTTATTTATTCGACCTTTTTTTGTTTTGTTTGTAGGTTATGCTTAAAGGAGACAGCACCTCACAAGTTGTCCAAGATGACCAAGTCAAAGGACCCTTAAGGGTAAGGGATACTTTTTAGACACTGACTCCAATTCAGTTGAATAATTGTTACTATAATGCTTGTTATAAATGTTGTGTACTGCACATGCAATATTTACTAGAAGGTACTGCTTAGTTGTAGCCAGGTTCAAAATTAACTTTTCCCCACAAATATTATTGCAGAGTGAACTGAGAAAATTAACTTATGGTCATGACTGGAATATTGTTTAGTGAAACTAAGCACCTTGTGGACTCAATTATGAAGCAAAACATTGTATATATTGTAGCTCATAGACAATGTTTAATTCTAAAACAAGAAGTTGTAGAAATGTTTTTAACTGAACTTTTTTAACTTTTGAATGTGTCCTATTTGTGTCACAGCAGTTTACCAAAAAGTTTGGTAGTGCAATGATGTGTTCTAAATCTCTGGTCTCAGGTTGGCTCAACAGTGGAAGTGAAGGGCCCAGAGGGTGGACTTAGCGAAGCTGTCATCAACAAACTCACAGATGCCAGCTGGTACACTGTGGGTACGTACAGACACAGCTGACTAAATCTCCCTAGAACTACACATATAGTACCACTCTTAGGTTCTATAATTGATCTTCAGTAAACTAAACTTGTCATTTTAATGTTTTGTTTCCTCCCATGTTCATTGCAGTTTTTGATGACGGTGATGAGAAAACCCTTAGAAGAACTTCACTGTGTCTTAAAGGCGAAAGACATTTTGCAGAGAGTGAGGTAAATGTAAACAAATTGAATGTGAGGTATTATCTGCTGCATGTGTCTTGTGCTTAACAGTTTCCCCTGGTTTTCTCTCTCTCTGTAACAGACTTTGGACCAACTGCCCCTTACTAACCCAGAGCACTTTGGCACTCCAGTCATTGGAAAGAAGACAAATCGGGGTAGAAGGTCTTCTCAGGCAGTGTGAGTATTTGCAGTCCTTTCCTTTTTGTGTTCTTTAGATGCATGCGTCATTCTTAGATTAACTCCTCATATTCCTTTTAGATTACAAGTCCACATCATAGTTTCTTGCACCCAAAACAGTCCTAACTTAGTTTTACTGTTCAAATCCCTTCTTTATTTTAAACGGGCTTTTGCTAATGTACACTTAAGACTTCAGTATGTAAATGATCTCTGATATTTAAACCTAAATTCATACTGAGCTTGTTATAGTACACTTCAGAAGCCCTGCTCACACTGGCGCTGTATGTCATAGTCTCTATACTGTGTAGTCGCTTGTGGGCGTTCCCAGTGCTGTCGCTCTAATGTTATTTGTAGACTGTACGTCTGACCAGGTCTATAGAAAGTACAATCACAAGTGATATATAAAATAAAGATATCATTCTAATTTGACTAGGAATTAGGTTTGAAAGATTTAAAAGTAATATGCTGTTGGAGTGTGTTGTTATATTAACCACAGCAGTGCTCAGTGCATTAAATCATTAAATCTCGGTGCATTGAATCAAAAACAGAATGTCAACAGTTACAGAGACATCGTTCAAATTTGACAAATAACCATTTTTTTTTGTCCCTAATATCCAACATAAATGTAGAGGAAACTGTAAAATGAAGCAGGGAAGTCCCTTCGAATCAAGTGCTTAATGGAAAAGTTCATTTCTGACCCTGGCATGGGGGCACGTCTGGCAGTTGCAGTTTGTACTTGGTGTAAATTGCATTAATGAAAAAATAAATTTGACTGTTTTGGAGGAATTCAAATAGGGACGTTATCTTGTTGTTGAAGTTACTGTCGGTGTTTACCGGACACTTTTATTTACTTATTAGTATTTCATCCAACTGTCTTACTGGTGTGTCAGTGTTTACTTTTTTAATAAACCACATAGCTTGTCATTAATTAGTTGAGAGATGCTGTGATTTTGAAATTTGACCACGGATTTTTATTCTTATTTTACATGTACGACATTTCATGGAACGTGCCTCAAATTTGCCTCAAAAGTCATGGGAATGTATTGTTAGAAATGTGTACGAACTAGGGATGCAACAATATAGTTAGCCCATGGTTCAATACATACCTCGGGTTTTTTTAACCACAGTTTTCGGTTTGTTCTGATGGTATGACATGAGTTTTTTGTTATTCTATACTTGGGCAATAGGAACAGTAAGAGGGAGAAACAAATAAAAACGATTTATTGCAATACTTAAAAGCTACAAAAAGTCCACTAGTTCCTAGTGTATTGTATAATATAAAATTAACACTGACATTTTATAGCAGCTGCTAGCCCATGTACAAACTGGGGAACAAATTTTGAAAATAAGTTGGTAAATATAAATTGACCATTTCAAATAAACAAAGCCTACCTGCACTTCAGTAAAGTGTTTCCGTTTGAGTAGGCTACATGTGTAAAACAATGCTTGCACGCAGTAATTTTTTTTTTTTCTTCCTCTGCATTATACTCAACGGCAAAACCGAAATGTCCCCACACCACGGATTTGAAAGATACCGTTGCCGGTGCTTCCTTTTACGGTAGCCTCACTTCACCGCCGCTCGCCATGTTAAAGTGTGGAATGATGGCTAAGCCACGTGCAACTTTAAAGCATAGTGATTGAATATTTACTCGCAGGGCGAGTTTCCTCGTGTCAGCTCGTTGACTTACAGGCACACACAAACAGTCAATTCGGAGAGAAATAAAACGTACATAAATTATTTACACGTAAAAATGAAAAAAAAACGCAATTCACAAGCGCATATTGAACCGTGGATGTTGTACGAACGGTTCAATATTATATTGAGAATTTTAGCATCCCTAGTATGGACCCTGTCTATTTTATTTATTTTCCTACATGCAAAAATACAGTTTTCTGGTCAGTGTTTTAATGTAAAAAGAGAGCATGTTTCAAACATTAGTGCTCTGTTTGATGAAATGCAGTGCAGAAGATGAGAAGGAGTCTTCATCGAGTGAAGATGACGACGACGACAAGCGAAGGCTTAATGATGATCTTTTGGGGAAAGTTGCTTGCATTCAGAGTGGGTCTGATAGTGATTCCTGCCACTACGTCTTGGTGAGTCATTTATTCATTTATAAACCTCTTTTAACTTTTGGATTTTAAATCCAGTTATAGAGACAAGCTATGTTTCCAATTACCTATTTTTATGTGCATTTTGTGAAATTGCATTAAATGGATGTAAACGCCAAGATGCACATAAATTCTAAAAAAGTAGGCAAATATTATTTTATTTTTATTAAAAAAAACATGCCCATAAACTACAATGGAACACATTTACTGTATAAATTCATTGATGTGCTTAAAAAAAAGTCATGTGACTTTGTGTCATAACTGAACTAACCAGTGGGCCGATCTCATTGCACAGCATCTGAATTGTTGTTTAAGTAATTCTGAAGTGCTTGAGAGAATTGTGCCTTTTAAGATGGTTCAGTATAATTTCCTCCCAGAACTGTTTTACATGACTGCGTTCCCAAACAGCAGACATCCACCCAAGTTAACATGACCAGGTTTATTGCGTTTCATTTGCGTGTTGAGGTGCAAGTAATTTATTATGTACGAAAAAGGGGCTACAGTGGCTTTTACTGCAGCAAATACAATATTTCTTAGTGTTATTTGGGGCTAGTTTATCTGGAAGTGTCTATTTTGATCTTTTCGTCTCACTGTATGCAAGCGCTCCTTTCCTCACAACTGTTTTATGCGATTTTCCAATTTTGAGCATAAGTTAAATTCAAAAGTAGACTAAACATGGTCTCTGTGACTTGTGAGAGTAGTATTCTGAACTTATACATTAGCTTTGTATGGGGAACAGATTGAAAGTTGTTTGCTGATGATGTTAAAGTGTTTGAAACTGTTGTATGGAAAAGATTGTGCTCTGTAAAAAGAAAAAGTTGCACAACAACTGTATATTGGTTTAGAACAAAATGAGAACATGTGTGACCATGGACCTCAAAACCAGTCTTATGGGTCATTTCTTTTTAAATTGATATTTATACATCTCCTGAGAGCTGAATAAATAAGCTTTCCATTGATGTATGGTTTGTTAGAATAGGGCAATATTTGGCGGAGATGCAACTATTTGAAAATCTGGAATCTGAGGGTGCAAAAAAAAAAAATCTAAATATTGAGAAAATCTCCTTTAAAGTTGTCCTTTTCTGTTGGCGATCTTGCTGCATCCACTCACAAAAATTGTTATATTTGACTTCAATATTTTATGTATTTAAGGTAGGAAATTTACAAAATATCTTCATGAATCAGGATCTTTACATAATATCCTACTGATTTTTGGCATAAAAGAAAAATTGATCATTTTGACCCATACAATGTTTGCTCAGGGTCACACATTTAAAGACAGAGCCAGTCTTGAGATGTTGTATTTCTTCTGTTGGGAAGTATTTGTTGGAGTTTGTTGTTTGGGGGTTGAAAAGGTTGTTTTGATCATTTTTCTGAAACCAACCTTTGACAAAAATTCACTGGCTGGCAACTTTAAAAAAAAATATATATATATGCTAGCGGTAAAAGAATTAAGATCTTTCTGATTGAATATGTGTCAATGAAGACAAAAGACTCAAATGATAATCAAATGCAGTATTCTTTACAGTAGGCATGTGCCGGTATCAAATTTTCATGCTGCGGTTAATTGATTGAGCTTTTATTGCGGTATACGGTATTATCACGATATTTTAATGAAATTATATTTCAAGAAAAACAGATGCATTGTGGGTCTCTAAAAAAAACCTCAACTTGTATCAATGTGTAATTGTGATTTTCAAAACATATGGTAAACTAAACCAAATTGTTTAAAGTTTAGTGACAACATGTTACAATGACTGGTAGGTTACTGTTTGTATTATTCAATTAAATTCTTGGATTTGATTTCAGTCTTAATTCAATATTGACTCATTTGGATAAATATTAGGCAGGCCTCAGTCTGTTAATGTTTCTCAAGAAAAAAAAAACCTCACATAATGCTGTAAACATACAGAGAGAAATTAAATATAATATTTAGCAAATTACTCCTTGCTATTTTCTAATGTGCTGGTCATTAAATGGCTTTCCTGAGGTAAATGTAACGTTTTGACACAACTGTTCTCCTGCAGTGTTACTGACCTCTTTCCGTGTTTGAAAACACTGATTGATCGTTATTTTATGTACAAGTAAATATACCTTTCGGTAAGTTATACTGTATCTTTAAATAAAAACGAAAGTAACATGATGATCGGTTTACTTGAACTGAGGAGCAACGATCTGTGATCCTAAGAGCTGATTTATCAACTTCAATTTATCAATAACAACTTTCATATCAAAAGTAACCTGCTCTGTCTAGTCTGTCGGTGTCCGTGTCCTCTTTGCTCTGTGATTTTTCTCTGTGGGAGAGCGTGTGAAAAGTGTCAAATGCGTTAAGCGCCTTTCAGACAGGAAGCGGAATGCGCGACGCTGGTTCAACGTTGCCCTTCAGATACAACGCGATTTGCTATTTTACAAATAAAAAGTTTAACTATTTTGAACTTTAACACCGGCGTGGTCGATGCAGGTCGACGCAGCAACAAAACATCCCTGCGCGTCGCGCGCGTATTCCGCGTCCTGTCTGAAAGTCAAGCTTGAGTCTCAAGCGGAATGTCTGAGAGTTGGCAGCCCTGCGGGGATATATCGTCGGGAGCGTTCCGCCATGCTTCTTCATCATGTGAGGATTGTTTACATTAGACTAGTGCGCACTGTCGCAAGCACACAGTGCTTATACATGTGGGGATTGTTTACATCAGAGTGCGCGCGTGTTCTGCGCAGCACGCAGTGTTTGAGCGGTTGAAGGAAAATAAGCAGCTAATGCGCGCTATAAAAGTCTAAATTCGAATCTATTATTTTCCACGGTATTTTGAAGAGCCCGCGATAACAATATCGTGCATATTCATTACCGCGATTTATCGCATTACCGAATACCGGCACATGTCTACTTTACAGTTAAAGACTTGCTGTTTTCAGATCTTGATTATTTTCTTCCTCTTTGAAGGTGATATCTCCAAGCTGCAATGATGACCTAACTGTCAAAAAGGACCAATGTTTAGTGAGATCATTTGCTGATTCCAAATTGTGAGTAGCATTGAAAAGTAGCTTTGACATTTGCAAAACCCATGAAGTAAACATTAACGTTGTAGCCTGTATTTCATCTGATAGCTTTGCTCATTAAGCAATTTCATAGGATCTGTAATGGAGAAGTTTTGCTTTTTAATGCCATTATAAATTTTCTTTAATAAGAAGAAACCGAAACATTTTCATGTTGTTGCTATTCTATTTCTGATTTATCAATGTTTTTGTTCTGCAGTCACACCGTGGCACGCAAAGAAGTTCAGGAAGTAAACATTGACACCCTCTCTAAACCTGAATACTCACTCAAGAAAGGTATGAGACCCAAGATCAGCTGACCTCTAATGACTTGACTGTTTCCAGGTCAAAGTCTGATCTCTCACACAATCTTTCTTGTGTCTGTGTTTTTTTTTTTTTCTGTTACCAGGGTTTGAAGCGGCACAGCTCTTTCTAAAAGCCAGACAGGTCCCTGACAGCTGGAAAGTGGACTTGAGTGAGATTCTTGAATCCTCCAGCAGTGATGAAGATGATGGGGATGGGGATGGAGAAGGCAAAGGCAGCGAGGAGGAGGAACAAAAGAAGCCAGAACCAGATGAAGTAAGACTCCAGTATTTCTTTATTTCTAATTCTTTACATTTTGCCCCAGAAATAGGTTTTCGTTTTAAAAGCCATTTGCCAAATTTTGAAAAAATGTTGTTGGTTGCGAATTCTTAAATTGGTGGTTTTGGAAAATTGTAGTCTTGTCTTTAAAAATGTTGAGTTTTTTTTTTGGTTTGTTTGTTTGTTTGTTTTTACTCATATTATGGTACTTTAGTTTATACTCTTGCTTGGACCTTTGTTTCTTGGTCTCAGTGATTGGCATGTAGTTTTGCAGTGATTGCTCTGATGAAAGGGGCTGCCAGAGTTGGGCACCAGACGTATTAAAGCAATACAAGGCCATTCGAGAACAGTGCCGACTGAATGAGAGCCCCAGTGTTGGTATTTATGTTGATTTGTGAAGACATTCCATCGGCCCTTTACATCTCATGTTCTCGTACACCTTGATTAAGCCCACTGAATGGTCTCAGCATGTGGGAAAGCCCCCAGGCTTCGGACAACAATGTCTCATTCTTCCTGCTCTCCGAGTTTGGACAAATGGCCATTTGCTTGGTTTTCCGACTCGTTCCCATGGCAACCTCTCGTTCCTTTGGTTGTGAAAAGGCTGCGGGATTGGCTGAGGCCCAGTGGAGGTGTGCCAGTTTTGATGGTGGGCAGGGCTGAGCTCATCTCAAAGAGTCTTCTTTCCTCGCTGGAGAAGGTCCCGCATGTTGGACAATTATAAGGCCAGCATTTGAAAAGATAAGTGGAAACATTTGTTGGAAATGATGGGTTGCTTTTCTTTTTAATTAATTGTTTCCTCAGAAAGCCTGGATTAAAATTATGTTTAGAATAAGGATGTGCAAAACTTCTAGTCAAAATCAGCTAGTTGCAGACTAAACGGTCTTTTAAATTTGATTTCACCCATAAAGGAAAAAAAAAATCATCATGTACTCAACGCAACTACTACTTTGTTGCTTCAAAAAGTGATGGCTACCATAGGAAGATCTCCAAATGACCAATCCTGATTGCAACGTCACTACACGCATTCTTCCATCATGGTTTTCTACCAGAGTTCCTGGTCTTGAACGGATTGTAATCGTGCCGTGCCGTACTAGGCTCAAGTGGAAACATAACTGGAACCATTCCTTACCGGTTTTAGAACTGTTCGGCCCCGACAGTGGAGAGTTAACAAAACCTTTCAGGATTCACACTTGCAAGCAATTGCTGTATCCTAAAGTGACTGAACCTAGTAAATGCATAGTATATGCCTTTTTTAATTAGGCCTACACTGCATAAACCTTCTGATAAATTGTATTATTATGTAAAAGTTCGTACATGGATTAGTTACGGTTATTATTTATTGGTAAATTAACCAAAGGATTAATCGTCTATTCAGAAAACATAAATGTCATATGTACAATTACAAGGTTGGTAACAGTTACCCTTTTACAGGGGTGAAATTGTTCATCCTGGCCTCAAGAGGGCAACAGAGAGAGGAAATGGTTTTAAGGTTGCAGGTATCATAGAGGAAGAGAGGTGGAAGCATGGTGATGGAATGGGTTGCATGAGGGTAAAAAAGGCTGGAATCACATTGTGAGCTTCTCTGCAAACATCCTTAAACACAGAGGACTCTGTAATGGGGTTTTAGAGGAGAAGAGCGAGTTGAGATGATATCTACTTAACGGTGTTGGATTACGCCAGTGGAATTATTTGAAGTTATTGGGTCATTGCAACGACTGGGACTTTCTACAAAATTCAGATAAGATTTGCATTACAGGCTGTGTTTCTTTTCTCATACTGCAGTTACACCTTCCATACCTCATTTTGCCTGTTATTGTTTGTGTTGCAGTGGAGTATTGTTATCCTGGGTACTCCATTCCATCAGGAAAAAAGCATATTTTCTGTAGCAACACTTTATTATTTTGGGTTTAAGTTTGATTTGTTTGTTTCCATTATTGAGCTTGGTTATTTGCAATGTTGTCTTGCGGTTTATTTGTTTGTCATGTTTATTGTTATTGGTATTAGGGGTGGGCGATGTAGCCTCAAACGATATTTCAAGAATATTTGCGCTAATGATATTTGCTCCACAGAACAAAAAATAAAAAAAGCCAAAGATGTTTTGGGATTATTTTATTTATTTATTTTTAGCAACTTGGAGCCTTTTTTTGTTGTTGCTTTTAGGTCACGTTGACGTACATTTACTATGCGCCTTACTGTGCGCAAGCTGAAACCTCAGTGCCTGTTGCCGCCAAGTCTTGTTTTGGGTCACTCTTGGGTTTTTCTGAACCTGCATTCTCAGAATCCTGGTTGAAGTTGTTGATAGCTTCCTTTTTCTGGGCCGTCAAGGTTGTCTAACCACTTTTCCTTCAACTTTGAACTTGCAAACTATACTTTAGTTCCAACGGTGTGTCTCTATGAACATTTAGTGCCTTCACTATCTTTTTGTATCCTCTTGCTTATTTGTGAAGGACGATGATATCTTCTCTTAACTTTTTAGTACCATTGTTTTGACTTATTTCTAGCATGCATTTAATCGCAACAAACCTGGCCAGTTCAGATATTTCAAGTGTTCTAGCTTAAGCACACCTGATGCAACTAATAAAGCCCTTGCCTTGTTGAGTGCTGTTGTGAGGGATTCTATTCAGGGGGTTGAATAATTTTGATACTGCAGAAGTCATTTTTAAAGTTGCATTTTCAGTTGAATTTGTGGAAACCACTTAAAGCATTTGTTTTGTTGAGCTATTTCAATTAATTTGGTTTGATTTGTTCATTCCAAAAAGTGTAAATGCTGAAAGTGTAAATGTTGCCATGCCAATAAACCTGATTTGCTATGGGGGTTGAAAATTTTTGATTTCATTTGTATAATTTTATACCTTCAACCAAGTGTTTTTTAATTACTGTTACTGTAAAGTGTAATAAAACTATAATTACTAAGCTCTTACCAGGTAACATTTAAATCAGTGTATTTTTAATTTAGTGATTTATAACTTCTGCGTTAATTTTGTATGATCACAAGGTTGACTAAAACATTTTAAAGCGTTATTGTGTCCATTACCGCTATTTTGTCTATACTTGTATGCTGCCAGTTTACTCCCATTCAGAAACAAATTACTTTTATGGGCTGGTTCTTTTTAATATTGCAAAAAAAAAAAATGCTTATGAATCTGTAGGAGTGTTTGATAAATTAATCTCACTTTCAGTCATGTTCAGCTCTGACAACTTCTATGGTGTTGTAATGCATTTAGGGTTAGTAAGACTTAAATTGGTGTAATTACTGACACGTGTAATTTAAGATGCATTCCACAACATACTTTGTTTCTAATGATTATTTTATTTTTATAAAATAAATTGAATGAGTAAAATAGGACCAATTAGGTTCAAATTAAAAGTCTGTAAATAAGAATTAAATATAATTTCTCAGATAATACTTTCTCTTAATTTAGTTAATTGTTTAGGGCTGGCACGATTCCTTGATTAAATTTGAGTACTCTATTAAAAAGAAAAAAACAATCCTCACTTGCAATTTGCCTGTATTGTCGAGTAACCAGCAAAATACCAATAGTCGACAGTTGCACATTCCACAGAGGAGAATCCATAAACCGCCTTATTAGACCGTTTTCTATGGCTGGACAATGTTTTAAAACCATTTAAATCATACTGCAGAATAGATAATTCTATTCATAAAGACGGCAATTCTACATATATATTATGCCCTGTGGGTTTGCACTTATACAAGTTATGTGCATATCAGAGCTGCTCCATGCCCAGTGAATGCTGCTCCACATGAAATGTTATTTACATGCATGTGCGTGAAACCCCATCTCTGCGTAAGCTGGTTTATTAGTTTGTTTGGGTTGCTTATAACATTCATCTGGGAACGCATAGTGCGCCATTTCATCAGATTTATAACAGTCATTTATAAAGAGTTTTGCTCTCCACGTATATTCTTGTTCAAGAAGTTACAATGGCTGTAGATTTTCTATTATAAAGAAGTTGACAAATATTAAAGATTAAGTGAACATTTGAATTAAATGTCTTTTGGGCAATATTAGCCATTACAAAAAAGTATTTGATCTGCTATAAAGTGTAAGAATTGCTGTTGGCGCACTCTGTTATATTTCAGCATTTGTCTAATCTATAAGATCATTGTAAAAATGTGTAATGTACAAAATCATTATTTATATTATGTATATACTAATACTATTATTTATTCTAACAGTGCTGTTCTACAAAACCAAATGATTACTTGCTTTTGATACTTTATTTGAACCAAATATTATTGCCTCAGTTATTGCATTAAGTAGTTTACATATTTTAAGTCATTTTAAATGCTATTGTTTGCTTGGTTCTATTTTTATTACCCAAAATTAAAATAGTTTGATTGGCAAAATAAGTATTGAACTAGAATCAGAATAACTGAATTCCTGAATGGTTATTTTGCTGCTCTTTAAAAAAAAAAAAAAAACCCTTCATGCAAGAATAAAAGTGTTTGGTAAGTCAATGATCAATTAGATATCCACTGAGAAACTGCTATTTTGTTGGTTATGTGAAATTCAGAAATTCTGATGTTGCACTTTCTTTCTCTTAATCAGCCTGATGATGAACCAGACCCAGAGGAAAGGGACCACTTTCTACAGCAGCTTTACAAGTTCATGGAGGACAGAGGTAATGCCTGCACATCACCACTTGAGTTGTGATCCCTATTGGAAAAAAAAATGTAATGGGGAATAAGAATCTTCATAGGGACAGCTAAACAGTGTATTTCAAGGTGGATGTCTTTTATAATATTTGTGTGTGTGTCCTCAAAAGCTCAAATGCCTCCCACCCCCCATATCGTCTCATGACCAATTCTGCTGGGCACATTTCAGTTTAACGCTTCTCTGCACCTTTGCTTTCCTTCCAGGGACTCCAATTAACAAACCTCCAGTGCTTGGCTACAAGGATCTCAACCTCTTCAAGCTCTTCCGACTGGTGTATATTCACGGAGGCTGTGACCATGTGAGTGTTCTCAGCATTCCCACCATCTGTTTATTGTACTCGGCAAGTGGGAAGTGAGATGTGCCAAAAATATGAAGCGAAAGTATTCGTGAGTTAATTTATGGAGCTGAACTGAGTTGAAAAGTTGCTTGTTTTAAAAAGCATGTTCTGTAAAAGTTATTTAGGGTAATTATATTTGGGAAAACGGTTGTGCTTGTTCAAGTGATATCATGTTTCTAAGCTATCTTGATCCCTGGGTGCAGTAGGCAGATGTGGATGACACTACCAACTCTGTGCGTCAAGAATTGGTGCTTTTAGTCATCAAAAAGACTTGTGAAATGAGATGGTTTGTTTTGTTTATTTAGATTGAGAGCGGATCTATTTGGAAACAGATCTACATGGATCTTGGCATCCCGGTTCTGAACTCTGCTGCCTCGTACAATGTGAAAACAGCCTACAAAAAGTAAGTGCATGCTCTCACAATTCCTGCTGTGCAGAACTATATTTGTTTACTCAGCAGCCAGTGTTCTTTTTGTGGCGTTGGCAAATGGATATAATTTTCCACGTTCGAAGATGACTTAAGCTGAACTCTTATGATTATTACAGAAATACTTTGGGTCATTTTTTAACTTGATGTTAATGGGCTGCATCTGTTGCATGCTGTTGATTACAACAGTGTCTTGGACGCATCTTTCAGTGTAAACACATGAACAAAAAGCGTGATTACAGTAAATAAACTTTCCAATGAATGCCTAGCTGGCAAGTATGCAGTACCACATAAACGTTTCAGATATGCAACTAAGTAGTAGTACATCAACTCGCATAGTGGCCAGATAAAAAAAAAAAAGCCCTTTAAAAAAAATTGAAGGCTTGTTATAAGAGAATGGGGTCACATATGATGATACCAGAGAATGGTTTCGCAAATTTGACTGATGTCATGTGATGTTACATTTCTCTTGGCTGTCTGATTAACCTCTTCTTAAGTTCATTAAAACATTTGGAGAAGCCCAATACAAATGCATGTGCAGAACATGAACGTTGTTGACAACCCTGAATATTAATTTTAATAATTGTTTGTAGGTGATTACGTAATACATTTACTTATCCTTTGGCCTGAACCTCAGGTATCTGTACGGATTTGAGGAGTACTGCCGTTCGGCTCAGATCCAATTCAGGACGGTGCACCACAACGAGCCGCGGCCAGACAGGCAGCCAGAAGCGCAGAGCATTAAAACTGTGAAAAAAGAGAGTGAAGACACAGATGAGATGATGCTGCAGGTTACAGCGGAGCCTGGAACCAGCGAGGACAAACCTGTGGCAGACGCTGATGAGTCGGATGCTGAGAGTGAAAAAGGATGCAAAGATATCTGCTCGCCCAGGGTGAGTGTCTGTCTGTCTGTCTGTCTGTTAGGCTGCTCTCAGGATGTGGGATTTTCATGCTCGATGACTTGCCAGCTACAGAGCAATAATATTTGCATTCAAAGTGTTTTTGTCCTTGAATGAGTTTGAGGAAATGCACATGATGATACTAGAGAATGGTTTCGCTTTCATGGCCTGATGTCATGTGATGATACACTTCTCTTGGCTGTCTGATCTGCCTCTTTGACTTTAAGGGTTTGATTTTAAGGGCATGTTTGTTATTAAACTGGCAATCATATTGCATTTAAAGGAATAGTTCTCTCAAAAATATAAATTCACTCATGTCTTTTGAAAACAATTACTTTCTTCTGTGTAACACAAAAAGAGAAATTAATCATTGGTCCAAACTGCCTGTTTCATACAGTGAAAGTGAATGCTGGAGATAACGGTCAAGTAAGATTTATTGAAAAATGTAAATTTCAACATTTTTCTCACACAAAGTTGTCAGCTATCTTTGGAGGACTCCGAATGCAGCACATGACTTGTATGGACCTCTTTTTGAGATGCTTTTATGATGTTATTTGTTTAAATATAGTAACTATCAAACCTTCTTTTGCACATAAAAAAAAAAAATAATGTTAGTATTCAAAACTTGTGGTGAACTATTCTTTTAATATGTTAATTTGAGCATATAATCATTTACTCACTTACTAAGGCATCTCATTATGCTACAATTATAACTAAGGTGTTTGTGCTGCTCACGTGAGTGTAATTAAATGATTATGCCAATTGTACAAAGTAGGATATAAGTTTTCGCTTTATAGAACGTGACATTTAATAACTGGTTTTGTGCAAGCATCTTCCCCTTTATAAATTGTTTGAAACTAGCTAAAACATCTTGGTTGTATGTCTGTGACTCCTCAGGGCCGGCGACGGTGTACGTTGACCCCGGTGAAAGTAGAGGTGAGGGAGCCAGTGAAGCAGGAGAAATCAAAGGAGGAGAAGAAAGAGGAGATACAAGTTGGAGGAGAAAACAGCGGAGAGGAGCAAAAGGAGAAATCTGATGGTGAGACCCCCGGGAAACGCCGCAGTCACCGCCTCGACGAGTCTGATAAAGATACTGATGACGAAGAGCAGGAAGACGATGAAGATGAGGAGGAAGATGGCGAGAGATCCAGACTCAGGGACCGGTACGTCAGCATCTATGCTTAACATGTTTAATGTTTTGCTGTCCTGATGAACTGATTTATGTTCATGATGTTCTTCCAAATGTCATTTAAATTGAATGACTCTCAAAACTGTCATTCATATGATTAGGCTTGAAACCTTGAAATTTAACCTGTTCCAGCAGACTCAAAAATGATGATACCAGAGAACGGTTTCGCTAACTTCACTGATGTCATGTGATGTTACACTTCTCTTGGCTGTCTGATTAACTACTGCATTTAAACAGAAGAAATGGTATTAATTCATTAGTGAATTTGAAGCTTTTGTACTCACTTTTGTTGACCGCTTTTTTGACAGTAATGGCTGTATGTTGAGTTATTTTCAGAGGACAGTAAATATATACTGCTATACAAGCAGCACATTGACTACTCTAAAATATATCCAAGTTTTATTTTTTATAGTATTGTCCCTTGAGAAGATGAACTAAAATGTCTGCTGATATTTGAGGGGTGTACTCACTTTCGTGATATACAAAAAATGTATGTATATGTGGATGTGACTGTGAGGATTTTTTTCCTACCGGTTAATCTATGCGTGACAACACCGGTAATACTGGTATCACCGGGGGAGGGGCCTCTTTTGTACCACGCTTTTAAATAGCTAATTTGAAAACGAAAGTAAAATGCACATGACCACACAGGCATTCATAAAAGCATTTTCACTCCATTCATGTGATTTTTCTCATTTTGGTGGTGATGATATGATAACTCCGTTTCATGAATTAATTTAATCAAAAGTAATTCCATTTTTAAGATCATTTAGTATGATCATTTTTATCCAAGTAATTCCAAACTTTGTGAGGCAGGTTACAACATTATGAGATCAAATACAGTAACTTAATTAAACACGTTCCACAGCGCCACTGAGTGCATTCAATTATGTCTGCGAGTTATAGTGCTTAAGATTTATCATGGATTCACTGAATTAATGGCCATCAAGGCAATCTAGTAAAATTTAAATAGTATTTTTCAAATAATAATTACAGATACCATTCAATAAACATGCATGAAGGGTAAAACAAGGGTATAGCTTAATGAAAAATAAAATAACTCAAGTCTTCAATGTTACGTGATCCATTAAAATCATTCTAATATTCAGGTTTGCTGCTCAAGAAACATGTCTTATCAATTTTGAAAATAGTTGTCCTGCTCAATATTTGTTTGGGTACAATGATACTTTTTTTGTTTAGGATTATTTGATGAAATAAAAATAAATGTTTTTCTTTTGAACATTTTTTTTTGTAACATTATATGTCTTTACTGCCACTTTTTGATCAATTTAATGCATCCTTTTTTACTTTTCACTTACTGACATCAAACTTTTGAATGGTAGTGTATGTTTATATAGTAAATCAAAACTCCTATTTCAGAAGAAAAGTTCTGTTTTCCATGATATGATATAATCCTTTAAAGAATCTCTCTGTGGAGGAAGAGCATAATCATTTGTTTGTTTGACAGTGATGAGAGGGAGGAGGGTGACTGCTGTGAGGATTCTGAGCACTCTTTGACCGGCACTAAAGTCAAAGTGAAATATGGCAAGGGGAAGACACAGAAGATCTACGAAGCTAACATCAAGAACACGGAGAACGATGATGGAGAGGTTCTTTACCTGGTGCATTACTACGGCTGGAACGTGAGGTGAGGCATTGGTGTGACTTCCTTTTTGACATTTCATTCACTCTTTTGAATACTATACTTGGTAAATAATGACTCGTGTACATGTGAAAGTCATACAAGCTTTCAATTTTCAGTTTATGAGACTGGGGTCTAAGATGATGATACCAGAGAATGGTTTCGCTAACTCTACTGATGTCATGTGATGTTACAATTCTCTTGGCTGTCTGATTAACCTCTGCTTCAATCCAAACTATGAAATTTCATTGCGTAATTTTCTAAGTTCGCCAACAGCATGCATCAAATGTACTGTGTTAATTTGAAAGTATCTGAATTGTTTGTGAAGACTGAATGGATTATTTATTGTTCACTGTGTGTGTGATGACCATAATATTCAAGAGGCTACTTTGTCTCTGAAACAGATATGACGAATGGGTCAAGGCAGATCGAATAATATGGCCTGGAGATAAGGGTGGAACAAAGAGAAAACAAAAGAAAAAAATGAAGGTGTGTGACAATCTATCTTTAAAAAAACAACAGCTAGACAAATCTTTTTAGAACCTTGAAAAATTAATATTTTCGTGCTCTCCTTCATCACAGAATAAAGAAGATGGAGAGGAGGATAAGACCAAGGTACGACGAGGTCGTCCTCCACTTAAATCCACCCCTCCCAGCACCTCCCGCAGTCTGTCCAAGACCCCCAGCAGCGAGGGTCGATCCAGCAGCAAGAACTCACGGCCCGCAGATACCTCTGCCCTGCCAAATGGAGATAGTAAGACTGTCCACTGTTCATGTCAAAAGCTGTGTGTTTAACTTGTGTGATACTGTAGCTAAAGTTCAGATCTGGAAACTGGAAGGGATGTTTGTTCACTTCATTCAGTGTGCATTAAAAAATAGATACAACTTTTGATTTTAAAAAGTGATTAGTACATTTTGATTTTACAAAGGTATTAGTACTAGGGCTGGGGTAAACGATTATTAACTAAACGATTAGTTGGGCGATTATTTTATCGATTAGTCGACTAATCTAATGACTAATTGGACGACTAATATAAAGAATATTTTTTTCTGCTGCTCAATTAATAAAAAACAATATCTCAAATAAATACTGGCATACTGAATCAAGATACTATAAGCTGGCTAACGTTAGTCTAATGTTATGTATTTGAACACCATCATTATAACTCTACAACCGCCAAAACCGTGTTATTAAAATATTTTTTACAAACATTTTTTATCATAGAGAATGTTTAAATATTAATATCTGAGGAGGGAGGCGGAGTTAGTGGTGCGATCGGAGGCTTCTACTACTGGAGATGAATCGGGAGAGGTTTGTGCACCTACTGATCAGAGCGCGTGCTGACACGGAGTAAAGCCTTGTTTGTACTCGACACGTCCGCACGAGCGCGAATGTGCGCACGGCAAAAATGACGCGTTGGGTGCGCAAGACCAGGAAGACTCGAGACTGTGGCTGGCTGTGTGTACGCCTTTTTTTTGTAACAGCGCGCCCGGCGCCGCATCCGGAAACGACTTCAAGTCGAATCTGCCCGAGCTTGTACATCTCACCACACCGGCACCCAGTTTGCCCATCTAAATTGCAATTTTTTTTTTCTTAAGGGTTTGTTTACTGTGTGTGATTCATTTAATGGATAGCACATTCACTTCTAGTTGTCTTCGTCCTCTATTCTGCAATGTTTTGGTCTCCCACGTGTGTGTGGCAAGCTGTACCGCCGGGAACATGCAAAAAAATAAATAAATAAAGAAGCGTCGACGCAAAAATATGACGTCGACGCAATTTTGACGTCGAATCATCGACGCGCCGCTACAGCACTAATTAGTACATTTGTAAATTAACACCAAGGAGAATAATTGATACAGTATATAACTATTGTTTATTGTTAGGCCATTTTATCTAATGTCATTTAACAAATGTAATCTTATTGTAAAGTGTTTTTAATTCTACAGTTTCTGTAACTGTGATATAAACTTTAATATATGTACATTTTATCTAAATTAAGCTTTGGTACAGAAATCTCTGGATTTTTACTGGTAATGGTACCTAATACTAAAATTTTGGTGCTGTGACAACACTAGTGGATACCAGTTTTGCCAGTATGCATATTTATTGGGAATCAATCCTGTGACCTTGACTTGTGCTCAAACTTACGTTTTAAAAAATGTGTACAGGTACCCCTCGCCGGCGAACAAGGAGAACTTCTGGGATGTATGATTCTGATAGAGGATCTAATGGTAAGAGCAACTATTTGAGTCAATAGAAACACAACTGCTGAATTTTTTTTTTCTTGCTTTAAACACATTTTTGAAAAATGTAAAGGATTTTGTTCTTTTTTCTTTTCTTTTTTTTTTTTTTTTTAGAACTTCTAACGGGTATTCTAGATTTTCTCAAAATAAATTTTCACCTGTAATATGGAAAATGAAGTGCTTGTAAGTTGTACATAACAGACGAATACAAACCAGTGAGCTTATGCTGATTTTCATCACTTTACAAGTTTGTAACTGCCTTTTTCCTGTCCCCTTTTGGAACCAATGTTTTTTTTAATCCAGATGTTTTTGTTTGTTTTGTTTGTTTTTTTACTGTTGGCTCAAAAAACACAGATAATTACTCATCTTGTCCAGTACATATGTGCATCTTTAGTTTTTAAGTATAGTTTACAGTTTTATGATGGTTAACTTTTATTTCATTCTTATTTTCACATTTTTAGATTCAGGGAACTCTTCAGATGATAGTGAGTGCGAGGAATCTCCCGAGAAAAAGCTGGAGTGGACCGAGAGAACTGATTCACCCTTGACAGCAAAACAACTGGAAGCTGAGGATCTCTCGGAGGAGAGCACAATGCCAGAACCTGATCAGACTGAGCCTGAACTACCCAGCAGCCCACAGGAGATGCCCAACTTCAAGGAGAGTGAGTGTAAACCCGAAGAAGATGCATCCCGGCTCCCTGTTGAGTCTGATGACGGATCTCCAAAACCAAGAGCAAAGAAGCCTCGTTTGAAAGAGCCAGGATCAGAGACACAAACACCTCCAGCTGCTAATCACACAGAGACAGAGGAACCCTCCACTCCTCCTCGGCCTTTGAAGAAATCCCAGGAAACTCCGCATAACAGTCCCGTGGAGAGAATAAAGCTGACGGAGACAGCCGGTTCAGACACGGACTCTGCGACAGAGGACATCGGGCCTCCAGAGCGAAGCAACGCACTGAAACGCAAAATCACTGAACAGCGAACGCCGGAAAAGAAAATTCGCCTGGACAGAAAAGAAGAACCCAAAGCGCTTTCTCCAGTTAAAACACCACTTATAGAGAACAAACCTGAGCCTGAGAAGAGGGACGAGGAGAAACCCGAGGATCTCTCTACTCCAACACTATCATCGCCCTGCAAAGATATCGAGATGAAATCTGAGATGCCTGCTCTTACTAGAGAAGTGCTCCTCAAGGTAGAACCTCCATGCCCAAGGCTGGAGGATCCAACAACAGCCACAAATGAGGAAATGATGCCTCAAATTGGCCCAGAGGCACTGGTCTGCCATGAAGTGGACCTTGACGATCCTGAAGAGAAGGAGAAACCCTCTGGTGAAGAGATACTGAAAATGATGGAGGAAGAGAAAGCTCAGCCTGAGCCTCAGCCTCTGGAGCCTGCTGACCACCTTCCTCATGTCCTGGTTGCAGTGGGACCTCCACGTCTGTTTTCCCCATCCTCTACCCCCAGCCCAGACGAATCTCAAAGCACTAAGGGAGAGAGTGACGCAACCATTGAGGTAGACAGTGTGGCAGAATCACAGGAGGGTCTCGGCGAGAACGAGTCAACTCACAGCTTTGATGCTAGTGCAAGTTCGAGTAATTCCAGCATCTCACTTCAGGATAGAGATGGAAAGGACAGAGGTAAGTTAAAGCTTGATGATTAGGGATGGGTATCGTTAAGGTTTTATCGGTATTACTACTCTTACCGATACCGCTTATCGATCCGGTACTTTAACTGTATTCTTATCGGTTCTTTTTGGTGTTTTTTTTTTTTTTTTTAAGAATTAAGAACATAATTAAACTCTATATTTTGAAATGTAAAATAGAAAAAGCAAAACAAAGAAAAATGTATTTTTGTTATGCAGCAATGTGCAGGCTTTTTTGTTTTATATAAAAAAAAGGACACATAAGAAAAAAAAACAAGTACAAACACAAGAATAAAATCAATCAAAGATACAAATTATATACAAAAGTGCTTTAATTTCAGGAAGGTGTACTAACATATCTTTTCAGGTAATTGTTTCTGTCTGAAAAGAAACCTAATTTAGTAATCAAATATAAAATAGCACTAGTTTATCATAGATAGATTAATGCTTATTTAATCTAAAGTTACTTATTCAAAAGCTGTGAGTTATTTTCTCTGCCTTTTGTTGTTTGATTTGCATTAATGGCTGAATCGTCAGCACGTTTAGGCTATTAGACTGCTGCCCCTTTAAGACCGAGAGCAAATCTAATCGGTAACCGGTAACTGAAGCACCATCAATTTCTCCCTATTATTTACGTCCATTTAAGGCATAATTGTGTTTAAGTTAGGGCTGAACGATTTTGGAAAATAATCTAATTGCGATTTTTTTTTAACCAATATTGCGATTGCGATTTAATATGCGATTTAAAAAAAAAGTTATTTACCTTCTGTATTAGTCGACAAAGACAAGCAATAAATCATTGTACAGTAGGGATGGGAATCTTTAGATAGCTCATGATCCGATCTACTTTTTTTCTTATTAATTAATCTTAATCTTAAAATATGTATTTAATTACATGTGTAAAAACACATATTTTAAAAAATAAATATAAAAAACATTTAATTAAACCAATTACATGTTAAGAATTTTAAATAGGCTATATAAGATAATATCATAGCTTCAAAATATAAAAGCTAGTAAATAAAGAGAAACAACAACAACAAAAAAAAACATTACAAGCAATAAACAAAGAGTGCGCTCAGTATTTAAAAGTAGGCTGTCTGAATGTTTTTCATTCAAGAGCTGGAGTGATTTCCCCTCAGTTTAGATACGATACGCTGCATTCACACACTAATGCATATATCGCTTTTGAAATTGTAAATGTGGTTTGTCCTGTTGGTTTAAGATATAACTGACCGTGTTTACATTAATTTCGCGTCATAAAAGCATTTTGACATGCAAGTACATTTACCAATGAGTCGCTCACGGCCGCATGCACGAGCGCTCTTCACAAAGCACGCGTTAGTATTTTAAAATGAAAGCAGCCTTCAGTGATTTTCACGGTTTTAATAGGCTATATAAGCCAACTGCTTTCCAAAAGACATAAATAATGCCTCTGTGAAGCATTTGTAAAGAAAATACCCGCGGGAGAGAACGCGCACTGCAAGTGGAACGTTATAACATCAAGCAAAGCGGCAAACCCTGTTCAATGAAGCCCGCGAATGTCCTTGTAATTCGGTTCAATCCCGAACTTTATGAAATAACGTTACTATGTTTTGGAAGGTTCGAGCGGTGTCGTGTGTGTGTGTGAGTGAGGAAGAGAGAGAGCGAGAGAGGCTCGTTTCTAAAGCACGCGCAGCGTCATCACGCATCTGTGTTTAAAAACTAAGCTCATACTCGATTCTGAAATTCTCTGAATCAATCCAGGATTGTTGAGGAGAGGAGAGAATAAATAACACAATATCACATACATTAAAAATAAACTGTTCTTTTCTGAATGCCAGACCGCGTAGCGTGGCAAGTTGATGCTTTATCTTGCAGACTGCTTTTCTCTCGCGTGTCACGTGACCAGTGTAATCGCAGCTCTTGCGATTACAAAATCGCGTTTCATCATATCGCGATTTTATCGCAAATGCAATTAATCGTTCAGCCCTAGTTTAAGTGAATAAACTGTGTTTAAGTGAATCTCAGAGCTGGTCATTTTGACATTTGTATGTATATTTGATAGTTCAGGAGGACACACGAAGCCCAAAGTATAGGCTACTTTTCTTGTCTCGTTGCAGTCCGTTTCGGAACGCGCACCGCCTTGTGAACAGGCTCTTGCGCAGGCTTTTGTGTTTTTAATAGCCATTTTTTGATCTTGCAACAGTAGAAGACAGCATTTTGCAACAATCGCCGATCGTGCTGACGGTACGTTTGGGTTTTAGGAAGAACTGACAGCGCTCTGCAGTGCTGTGAAAGCTGGATAGATCATGCGTCTTGTTTTTTAACGGTTTTATCTCAAACATCTTCTTTTTATAATCTTTGGAAGCCGAAATACAAAATATATTAGAATAATATCCCACATCTAAAGTGTAACCACGTTGAATGTTTAGTTCTGTCCTCATTGTCACTCATTAAACAGGGCTGTCGTGTTGCGCGTGCTGTGGCTTTGCGTGAGAGATCGCTCTCTCTCTCTCTTTTCTCTCTCTCTCTCTCTCTCTCTCTGCTGAACTGCGAATTTCACATTTGCATCACAGACAAATGGTTTAATTAAAATATAGTTTATATATAGAAAAGGCTGGCGATATAAACATGTTCAAGATAACGTCTTTATAGGAATGATAAATAATTTCTCCAGTACCGACAGCAGAACCGATAACGTCCGAGCTTATCGATACAGCGGTCTTTCAAAATTCAGCACCGGGGCCCGTTTAATACCGGGTTTCGGTACCCATCCCTATTGATGATTGGTGCCTACTGTTGACTGATGCTAATATAATCCACAATACATTACTCATTATTAGATTAGATTTTTTTAATGATTTTTATTATTATTATTATTTTTTTTTTTTTTTGCTTGATTTTCATGTTTATCATCCATTTGGTTTCTATTTTGAATTTTTCAGGTCAAAAGAGGTTGTTGGATTGCATTACCAGCTCGTCGGCCAAGAAGCAAAAACGCAGCCAGAAACGTTCAAGCGCTGTTTGTAAAACAGAAAAGAATGGAGCAGGTGAGTGTTTTGATGTGTTTTAAAATCTTTGGACTCATTTATAGATTGTGGTCTGTATCAGTTTATAGCACAGACTTAACAGAAAAAAAATAACACTGACTTACTCAACTCAGGTTTGAGTTATTTTTCAGTTATGTAAAAGGAACAGGGTCAAATATGATGATTCCAGAGAATGGTTTCGCTAACTTAACTGATGTCATGTGATGTCACATTTCTCTTGGCTGTCTGATTAACCTCTGCCTCAAAGCAACATTTTAGCTTCAACAAGTGTATTGTTTGCTAATTTGATAAGATTTGAGACTGTTTTAATATTGACTGTCTTTCTGTATGTCCCCAGGTCACAGTAGCGACAGTGAGGACCTGCCTGCCATGGACAGCTCTAATAAGCTAACCCCAGTCAAGCACTCCAGCCTACCCAAGAGCCAGAAGCTTTCTCGATCGCCCGGTATGGTTTCTCCCAACAGTAAAGACATGGAGAAAGACAAGCACAAAGAGAAGCAGTCCATCCCTTCTCCCCGCACACACAAGTGGTCCTGCCAGTTGAGTGAGTTTTCAAAACTTTCCGAAGTTAATTTGACACATTTTGCTTGTGGCTTCTCATGCTTTGCTGACTTCAGATGAAGTTCTCACTGAAACATTTTATAGTGATTCTCTCCACTTAAAATAAGGCAGTGTGCTGCCAATTGCCAGAATACAGGCTATATTAAAATACTTTTTTCGGAGATGCAATTGATCCATAAAGTTTTACTGTTCGTGTGCAATTTAACTTGCATTATGCATTAAAGATTGGATTATATATCAGAATAAAGATGCATTGGCTCTTTTTAAAATTGGGAAAATTCTACTATAACAACAGGGCTTAAAGTTCTCAGTTGCTACAACGGATTTCCGTCAGTTGGAAAAAATTAGGGGAAAGTAAATATGTAGAGCATTGCTGCCACTATTGGAGCTCATCAAGTTGGTTGATAACAATTGGAGCACACTTTCCAAATTATCAACATCTCTATAGTTTTTGATATTTGCTCACTTTGTGGCAAAATCATTCTCTGTTGGCTTTTATTATTTGAGAAATCTCTTTTTTTTTGGAAGTTATGTAAAAGGTCATCACAGACTCAAGTCTTGTAAAAGCATTAGATTGAAAACATTGAAGGTTAAAAGTTAGGTCGGGTTTATTCAGTTATTTTTCAGTAAATATTGGAAGTTATGTAAAAAAAGAACAGGGTCAAATATGATGATACCAGAGAATGGTTTCGCTAACTTGACTGATGTCATGTGATGTCACATTTCTCTTGGCTGTCTGATTAACCTCTGCTTCAATTCTCATATATTCAGCAACATTTTAGCATTAGATTGAAAATATTGAAATTTCATTAAAGTGCGTAAATAATAGAAATGCAATACAAAATTGCCTTTCTTTAAATGCATGTTCTTTGCAGGGCTCAACATTAACACTTGTCTGGGACAAGTAGATTTTTTTTTCTTTTTTTTTCGGACAAGTAGCCTGATTAAAAAAACGTCAAATACGAAAAAAAATAACTAGGGAATGACTAAAACGAGAGAATTTGTTCAATTATTGTACGTTGCCATCGATAATGGACCCAGATGTCTCTTGGTGTACTCTAATGCCAATCCATACCATTGTAGCTGAAATGTCTGTCGTCTAATTTTTTTTCTTTTGTAAAGGATGTAACTTCACATCCTCTCCTGACTGGTTCCTGCTTTTGTTTTTCACAGCTGAGCTGGACAACATGTCAAGTACTGAGCGCATTTCATTCTTGCAAAAGAAGTTACAGGAAATCAGGAAATACTACATGTCACTCAAGTCTGAGGTGGCTTCCATCGACAGGAGGCGGAAAAGGTTAAAAAAGAAGGAAAGAGAAGGTAAATTTGTATTTATTTCATTTAACAATTCCAATCTATTACTTAATGATGAGGACAATGTTGTAATTCATTTTATTAAAAGTATTCCATTTTAAAATTATAATTATTTTTTACCATTTATTTGAGCTGATTATCAGGTTTAAAGAATTCGAAAACTGGTCTTAATGTTAGTCAAAACATTTTTGGGGTGTCTCAATGTCTTTCCTTTTGCAAATGATTAACCTCTGACTTCTGATCGATAGTGTCCCACACCACAGCGTCCACATCATCAGGCTCATCCGACACAGGCATGAGCCCGTCCTCGGCTTCCCCCACGCAGAACACTGTGGCCGTCGAGTGCAGGTGATGTCACGCCCGTGCCCTGTCCCGCCCCGCTCCGCCTCTGCCTTCCCAGCATCCCGCTGCCTCCACGGAGACACGCATACTGACGAGCCAGAGCAAGCAGCCAATAGCACTCGACTGCCCTCCGCCTCCACGCCGCCTCTGATCCCTATCGGCCACTCCCACCTTCTGCACTTTGTAAACTGATCCTGCCTCCTCTCGCTCGCTGTCGGCACCAGGGAACGGACTCTACGTGAGGGTTGAATGTAATCTACGGAAACAAAGCTTACGATTTATCCATCCAGAATGAATACGATGGCACTTTTCGCTTCTCTCTGCAACCGCTGAACAGAAACCACACCTCTTACTGCTTATGTGCAGCAGGGACTGCTAATCAATCAGTTGTTCGTTCCTCTATCAGAACATGGTAAGAAAACGGTCTCGGATCCCTAGGTAATGGTCACCTTAACCAGCTGGATATGGTTATTCAAAGAAAGGTCAATTGTAGTGCGCTTGTTCCATCAGAACTGCCAAAGTACACGTGCTACAGCAGAGTGCCCTATTTTGGAAAAGTAGGACAAAGTCAATTGCGAAAGGGAATGTAGTTTACTGAAAACCGCAGCTGGCGTCTTCCACTTCTATCTTAGTATGTGAGCACAGAGAATTATGCAAAACCTATTTTTGTTGTCTCTTTTTAATAAAATAAGAAAATGGAAATGGAAAAAAAAAAGTATAAAATGTTTACAGTGGAACACGAGATAAAACTGTTTTCAGTGGACTAATTTCCTTTGCAAGTGTATTTTGTCTTTTTATATGTAATTGCAGAGTTTTTATTTTAGTATGGAAAATTTCAAAAAGTATATATCGCAGCCGTGAAGTTATTTAATGAAAGATTTCTAGAGCTGAAATTTTTGTGTAAAATAAAGGTATTATCTTGCAACTTGTTAAATATATTTATTCAGTCCGTGGACAGCATTTTTGTATTTTTTACAAGATGAGAGTCAGTCGTCCCACATCCAGTTCGGTCGGTGGAGTGGAAGGAATATGAGGATTTCGTGGGGTCATCTTGAACCTTTGAATGTGACGTCACAATTTGGGTAACTACTGTGCAGTAAACGGCATCTTCCCATGTTTTGTTCATTCATTTGGGCTCAAAGCTCCCTTGATGGAACACCAGAAATTGGTGACCTGCTTTTTATTTTCCTCTCCATCCTTTTTTTTTTAATTATTATTATTTGTCTTCCTGGTACTTTATAATTTAAACAATTATTCTCATTTTCGTTTTGAGTTCTTGGTCAATTGAATAAATTCGTTGCTTCTCTCACCAGTATGTTAAGCCCAGGGGTTTCTTACTGATTGTTCCTTTTGTAAATAGATCTTTCAGAAAACCATGTATTTGAAAAATACATTTTACACAAACTGTAAAAATGATTTATATTATTTTTTAAACAGTTCATCTTTGTATATTAATTTCTTTTCTATGTCAAGTTGGTAGAAGCATTAGCACATCTTTTGACTGTATATAATCGACCATTTAGGAACCTAAACCCAAGCTGTCTAGAGTGATGACCATGTTGAACACTTATTGCTGTAGGCATCTATCAATTCACTGCGATGAAATTGTGAAAACTTGCTTCCCTGTGACTTCAGTTTATTTACAGATTCCTGAATGAAGAAATGAAGGCATTAGGTTCCTGTGCAAAGCCATTGTATCATTATGTAAAATAAGAGGTCTCTCATTTCTAATAAAGTTTTGAAATATTCAGAAATATGTTTTCCTTTTTTATTAACCCTCTGGGCTTCTTCGTAAATGGGTTACACTTAGCTTCCTCCCGGTCAAACGGACGCAGCCTTAAAATTTAACTTTACTTTTTCCCAGGATAACCGTTCAAATATATTTTTGTTCTATAATATTTTCTGATTATTATTTAGAATTTTCAGAGTTTTCTATGATATTTTGCATTAATTATATAATTTTTAAGAGCTATTTTTTCCATTATAATTGATATTTTTTTATTTATTTTATATTTATTTTATATTTATTTTTATAAATGCAACAATTCACGTCAAAATAGAGTGCCAGCTTTATAAAAAAAAATGTTCAAATAGAAGAGCGCCACCTTGTGGCTGTAAAAAATAGTTACATGTGTGCAATGTCCTGTACAGCCTGTAGGCTGCCTATAGCTTCCTATATAAATACATAGGGAGGCTTTTTGATTTCTGTTGTTTTAGATGTGATTTCTTCTTATTTCTCTTTCTCTTATTTCTATACTTATTCTTTTTAGATAAGTATCAGGTTTTGCAGTATGATTACAATCAAACAATAGCATTTGGTTAGAAAGGGAACACAATGCAAACATTTTTGTTACTCAGTATTTGATAATTCAAATAATTGAACAAAAGAAGGGATGGTTAGTGATAATTCAAAACACTTTACAGACATTTTGCAATAAATTGGTATTTTTTTATTAATTTTTTATTCAATAAGTAATAAAAACTTCATAAGGGAACAGCAATAATGTTCAAACAGGAATAAACATAAAATAATACTAATTAAGTTAATTTTCTCGCTCTCTGTGTGTGTGTGTGTGTGTGTGTGCGCACGCATTTGAGCGAATCTCTTTTGTATTTTTTTTTTTGTATTTTTGCATATTCTCAAAATTTGCTGTTGCAGTCTTACCAGTGAATCTCTCTCTCTCTCTGTGTGTGTGTGTGTGTGCGCGCGCGCGCATTTGAGTAAGATTTTATTTTGCATATTCTACAAATTTACTGTTACAGTCTTGCCAGTTTTTCTGTGTATGTGTGGGGGGTCTTATTTGCACTCTTGAGGTTCAAGAGTGTCACCCCTTCATTGCTGTACACTTTTTTTTCTGCACAGTTGCTGATCTGTAGCTTGTACCACCAAAAGTTTCTCTGAGTTTTCCTGTTTTTTCGTATTTCCCATTCATTTCCTATGTCGGTCATTTTTGACCGGTAGGAAGCTAAGTGTGACTTTTTTTTACGACCCTTTAACAAATCAGAATCATCTCCTTGATTTTTTTGTGTGTTCATATAGGTAATACAACAAAAGTCACCAAGTTTCAGCCCCATCCGATGTAGCAAAAAAATTTAACATTTCAAAACGTAACAGTTTTCGGTCATTTTTGACCGAAGAAGCCCAGAGGGTTAACTGGTTGAACACTCACAAAAACAAGACCCTTTCACCACCCTTTATTTGGCAGAAATACACTCATATAATTGACAAGTAATATATTGACGCTAATAATTTTCACAAATCAAGTCAATATTTAGTTAGATTATATATATATATATATATGCGTTATACACAGCAACTGTATAATCAAAAGCAAAATAATTTCTTCAAGCAAAAATCTATTTATTTAGAATTTGGGGTGAACTATGACCTGGGGATGTTTTGTGATATTCGCCACACTAATAGAGATTCAGAACTCATCCTTGTTAAACATTTTGTTTTTATTTCAGTAGATAAATTATGCATGAACAAAACTGAATATTAGAGTTGACTAACATTTCGTTTTGCATTATTCTAACATAAAACAAGAAAGACCTTTCACGTTGTACAGTCAAAATGAACATGTCTGTCCTTTTTTGGAAACCAAAAATCCCAACAATCCAGCAATCCGAAGAGCCGGAAGACATGAGGGCTACTCGCACTATTTCCAGTGCCTGAGTCCCGTGTCCTGCTGCTCCAGTTTGGAGGGCCCTGCTCCACGCTGGAATAGTGCTGTGGGGTTCAGTCCAGCAGCGGTTGACTATCGCGGTCCTAACAAGCCGGCTTTGGCAGCCAAAGCTTCGTTCTGCTGGATGTGATATTCCTGGAAGCGCATGGAGATCCTCTGCGTCATCTTCAGGTACTTTTGTAAGCAGCTCTCAGAACATGAGGTCTGGGAAGAAAAGTTGCGTTCAAATCAAGTTAATGGTACTGTTTAAGATGACGCTTTATTTTAAGGTGACGGCTACGCGTTACTTAATGTACTTACTCTAGTAATAACAGTAAATTATGCAAAATTGACTGAGCACAAAAGCAGCTTCTTTACTTAAAGCAGTATTTCACTTTTTTAAAAAAAACTTGCTGATAATTTACTCACCCCCATGTCATCCAAGATGTCCATGTCTTTCTTTCTTCAGTCGAAAAGAAATTAAGGTTTTTGATGAAAACATTCCAGGCTTTTTCTCCATATAATGGACTTCAGTGGGAACCAAACGGTTCAAGGTCCAAATGAGAGTTTCAGTGCAGCTTCAAAGGACTTTAAACGACACCAGACGATGAATAAGGGTTTTATCTAGAGAAACGATCGCTCATTTCATAAATAAATAACAAAGTTTAAGTTTTATAAACAAAAATGCTCTCCTTGCTCTGTTCTGTGATGAGCGTTCGTGACTCTCCTGTTCAAACTCGTTCATCAAAATGAACAAATCTTTTTTCGAGTCATGACTCGAAGGGTCCTAGATAAGATCCTTATTCATCGTCTGGTGTCGTTTAAAGCCCTTTGAAGCTGCACTGAAACTCTCATTTGGACCTTGAACCGTTTGGTTCCCATTGAAGTCCATTATATGGAGAAAATCCTGTAATGTTTTCATCAAAAATCTTAATTTCTTTTTGACTGAAGAAAGAAAGACGTGGACATCTTAGATGAAATGGGGGTGAGGAAATTATCAGCTAAAGTTTTTTTAAAAGTGAACTACTCCTTTAAGCCTGGTTATGAAAGTTAATATATGCGAAATAAGATGATATATTTAAATACGTATTTTAAATACAAATTATAGTCTCTCAAAGTATTTAATTACAATTTCATTTATTTTTGCTAAGGAAAATACAAAATACTCAAAAGTGATAAAATTATTTTTTCAAATATAGGTAATTAAAATACTGTCCATCTCTGAGTACATGTAGTTGACTAATATTACTCAATACAAATGTATGTCACCTTAAAAATAAATTGTAACCCTGTTTAATAATAGCTTAACATTTATTTTAAAGGATATTAAATTAAACTTAAAATCACATAACTTACCTCCTCTGGCTTGACCTCTCTTGTTGTGAAATCTTTAACACAGTCCATGAAACAGTTTTCTGTCAGTTTATTGTAGGTTCCCAGGAATTCTTTGAACTGCAAAATACAAAGATGATCAGCTAAACGGGTTACTGGATGATTTCAGAACTACAATAGACAATATAAGTGTATGGTATGTAAGGTTCCTCTTGCCTGTTTGATCTGGTCTGATTCAGTAACCTGAGCTGCCATAGTTACAATACAGTGGGATGCTGTGAAGGAAATTGAATAAAATTAGTCACACTAAGAGCATTTAAAACAGTAGACCTGTTCTCACTGACAGCGCACAAAATATAAGTTCTCTTATGACCAATGATGATGATGAGTGGCTAGATTAGCCTTTAGCATCATCTCACATGTACATTTATAACACAGGCTATGCGAAAAATGCCTTTCAAAATAAATAAATTAATAATAGCTTTATAGTAAATAAGATTTAGATTTAGCAAGGGACGTAAAAAACAGTAAAGCGGATACCTTTGCTGTCAGGCAGTCAGAGCTGAAGGACATGTGAGAGAAGAGAACGGAATCGGCACTTCCGGAACAAATAAGAGTCCCTATGAATAAAAAAAAAAAACATGCATCAAAAAAGCCCTTAAGGTGTGTATTTGGAGGTGTATTATGATGGTGATGATTTTTTTTTTAAATAGTTTGTCTTTGGTCTGTGGTAAACAAAGACAACCATCCCCTGTTTTTATATTTAAGTTTTGTATCTTACAACCTTAATAGTAAAACAGGTAAATATATTCTGATAACGACCCAATGGGGGCAGCAGTGTGACTTCTTAGACCAAAACCATTGACCAAAACAAAGAGAAGACAACCCTTTATTTTGAAATCTGTGTTAACGTCACGCCGCTGTTTCCTTTCAAGATCACAGTTGTTGTGAAGTTGAGAGTTTTTGTTGTCAGCAACTACCGACGCTGTGAAAATAACTGGACTTTGAACTGGCGTTTGAAGTGAACCGGGGGAAAAAACACCCTTTGGATATTACGGTAATATACTATAATGTAGACGTGACTAAAATAACAGAAATAAGAGAGAGGCTGTTCAAAACTGATCCTTTAAAAGATCACTTGCGGCGGGAAATTTAAAAACAATAGCTACATTACTGATGAACGTCAGAGTGATTGACGTGTGTCATCTGTGAATATCTCTGGGAAACGTGCACTAATCGTTATGTTGACGTCACTCTTACGGTAAGACTGTTGTTGACGCTTTAATGGAGCCCCACAATATTATTATTAACCGTCTGAAGACAACCGACACCTCTGTTTGGACTGTCTTATTAACGTTACAGATGTAAAAGTGGAAATGGATTCTTGTGTGTCTGTGATCAATAACACACATTTAAACGACTCTACGTCTAGTTCTGATGCAGCAGATGTTTTAATTCAGTCAACCAGAGCTGCTTTGGGTGCCAGCAGAGAGGAAAAACAGCATATGAGTCATAATAAAGTTAATATTCACATCAGGAGACTGACAGACTCTGAACATGTTCATTCTGTGGATGAGAGAGAAATCCCATCTGTCCTCCCTGTGAATATCCTTTCAGCTGAAGATACAGGTAACACTATCAGACTTATTTTAGTTCAATTGATTATCAATTTTAAGTGATCAATTAAATGATCAAAAGAATAAATTCATATTTATCTGAACTCAGCTGGACCAGATGAACAGCAGGCTGTTGGACCGTCAAATACATTTGCTAACCTTTTTGACAAAGTGAGACTTTGTTTACTTTGGTTTACTTATGTTTGTTTTTAATCAGTCTAAACTTAAATTGAATAAAATATTTTGTAATTGTTTATGTTAATTAATAAAAGTGTCTGTCACATAGGCCTCCAGGAAAGAGAAAGGTGAAGCTCAAACTACAGTCATGCAGACAGGAAACTTAAAGTCAAAAGGTATATTATATTATTATATTATATTATTATTCAGGGATTTTCAATCTTTTAGATGCCAATGATCCCCCAAATATGATCATAATTTAAAAAGCATCTATATAGGCTAGTTTCTTGTTTAAAGACTTTATACTGTTAATATATATATATATATATATAATTTGAAAATTATTTAAGTTATTTATTATTTATTTAATTATAATTTAATTATAATTTATTTTATTTTATTTAATTTTTTAAGTTATACATTATTTATTTAATTTATTTAATTATTTTTTTAATTATTTAAATAAATTATTTATTTTAAAAATAATATTTTTCTTATATTATTCATTTTTTTATTGTTATAGTTTTTCTTCTAAATTTTACCATGGAAAAATGTGAAAACCCCTTATATATTATGTTATATTGGCATATATTAGTACCATGTTATATATGCCTATTATATCTATTTTTTGTATTATAAACTTTTTCAAGAGCTGAATGCCACCATTGCAAATTGATTTGACCTTTGTGAACACCACAGGTGGAGATGTACAGATTTCTACATACTCTGCTGATGGGAGAGGAGCAGTATCTGCAGCCCTCAGGAAGAGGTAACGTCTGCTTCCATTAACTGTCTCTCCAATAATCAAACTAAGGTCATTTTGCACACGTGGATATTTCACTCTCTTTCAGATCCCAAAGCGCCCCTTTAAGACGAAATGTGACAGTACAAGTGTTGGACCAAGACAGATCTCAGACTCCAAGAGGCCAGTCAGATCCTGCTTTTCCATTAGGAGATCCTGGGACTTCTGCAAGTGTGTCAGCTATAACAGCTGCTACTACTGCTGCCACAGCGCCACTTGTCAAGGTAGACCTAAGAAGGATTCATATAGCATTATAACATTCTTAAATTCACAATTCAAAATAACAGTCTCCTTAACCTGTCTTTGTTTGGCCCATCAGGCTCAGAGAGAGATGGAGGCTCAGATCGCACTGGTAACTGCCGAGCTGAGGAGGTTGCAGGCAGCAGAGGGCAGTGTCAGGACTGAGAACACTTCTGCTGGGAGAGCGGCCCATCTGGAAGAGCAACTTAACATTCTGATCCAGCAGAGACTGCAACATCTGGAGACAATTCAGTGTCAGCAGATTCAACTGCAGGTAAAGAAGGCAAGATCTCTGTTCAGATCTGGAGATGCAGAATCTGCCTTTAAAAAAAAAAAAAAGTTATTTTTTAGTTTGTTTTTACTTCTTACTTTGTTTTTTTTTTACTTTTGTTTTATTTTAATTATGTATTGTTTTGTCTTGTTTTTATTTAATTTGATTATTTTATCTGTGTTTTGTTTTTAGTTTTAAGTTTATTTTTTATTTTTTTTATTTTTATTTTTGTTCTGTTTTTTTTTTTGTTTAATTTCATTTTATTTTAGTATTATATTTTTTATTTTTTATTTTTAAGTCTACTTTTAATGTTATGCAAGGTTTATTGTACCAAAAACATTCATAATTTAGTTTTCATGTTTCCCACCCTCCTTAACCTGTGAATTAAATATATTTGCTACTGTAAACATCCTCAGTTATGATATGCTGACCTCAGTATAGAAGTATAGTTTCCACTGTTGTTCATCAGGGCGAAAAATGGCTAAGTACCAAATACTGAACAGAGTACATGAACAGAGTACAGAGTACATTGAAAAAAGACTTCATTCCAGACATCTGTTTTAAGCAGTCACATGTTGCTGTATAGCATCTTCATTTCAGAGATCTGGAAGGTTTCAGATTTGCTTCATAATTGGTTGTGTTTGTCAATTTTGTGCATTACTTTCTCCAATGGCGCAGCTCACAGGCGCTCTCTCCTCTGTCTTTAGAATCGTCTCTTGGGCTCGGCTCTGGATGTCGTAGCAGCTCGTGCTAACCCAGACTCCTCTGGAATCACCCAGACAGACTCTCTGCCAGTTCAGATCTCTGGGAGTCGCAGCATCAGGCTCTTTTCCCCTGATCAAACCTCTGCTAGAAGCCCAGGCTTCGGTGAGTTGTGGTACAGTGGACACCCATGCTAAAGTTGCCTAAAAAGAGGAATAAAAAATAATCTCTTGGATATGTATCTTAATGCCTTAATTTAAAAAATTAGGAAAAATCAAAACTTTTAAGGACACCAATTTTCTTTGTGAATGAATAATGTCTCATAAATAAATAAATGTTCTTCCTTAAAATACAGGGTGCATAAGTCAGGACACCCCTATGTTAAATTCCCATAGTCAGGCAGATTTTTATTTTTAAAAGCATTTCATGGATCCAGGATAATATGCATCCTGATAAAGTTCCCTTGGCCTTTGGAATTAAAATATCCCCACACCATCACACACCATTCACCACACCTAGAGATTGGCATGGTTTTACTTCAGCTAGCCTAATAGCTGGTTTGATTTGCATTGAAAGATGATCTTATGGAAAGTACCCCATGCCAATCTTTAGGTATGTTGAAGGGTGATGATGTGGGTCTATTTTAATTGAAGTGGTTGACCAATCACAACACACTGCTTGTCCTGCTGACCAATCAGAGCACATTGCACTTTTTGCAAGGAGAGGCTTCATGGAGACAGGAACTAAACAGAGTGTTAATTAGAGACCAGGAAGAGAGGTGCTGAAACAATATAAACTGTCTTAAAAATAAAGCATAAAACCTATTTTAGGAGACCTTCAAGACACATGACGTCAGTTCCCCTCAAGTTCACAAAGGTGTCTTAACAGAATAACCACATGTTTGACAGCCATAGAGTGTTCAATACTTTTTTTTGTCTTCATATCAAATAGTTTGAAACACAACAAACTATTTTGCACAATTTTTCGTTTAAAAAGTGTGCTCATGACATTTTGTTGTTTTCATATTTCTGTTATACAATGCAAATACATTTAATGGTGGCTTAATTAAATATGGGGCAACTGCATATTTGGATATATTTCGAATTACAAAGGGTGCTGATGTTATTGTGATGTTATCATTCTACATTGGTTTATTTCTCTTGCAGTCTCAAAGGATGTGCGCCGAGAGAAACAAGCAGGTGTGCATATAAGCCCCCTGGACACCCCCGCACCACGGAAGGTCATTCCTAAACCCACCCACTGGACATCATCAACAAGCACTGTCAAACCTCAAAGATCCTCTCTCAAAAACAAAGGTTGGTTTTTCTCATGCATCATTTTCTCTGTGATAGTTTATTGGCAGGAAGCAGTACGGTCATTATTAATGGCAGAAATCTGATTTATTTGGTTTTGCTTCAAGGCCCAGATTTTGTGGGTTCATTTTACTTTCTTTTTTATTTATTTTGATTCATGACCCTATCAAAGCAGACATCTGAAATGATTATTTGAATGAATTGTTTATTAGTTTTTTTTTGTTTTGTTTTTAAATCAGTCCTAGACTGGTATTATGATGACATTCAAGTTGAAACCACTTGATGGCAGTAGCGCCACTACTGAATTTTTGCTTAATTTGCACCACGCACTAACAGACCTAAATTTTTATATATATGATTATATATAAATATTATTATTCTATACTCTCTCTCTCTCTCTCTCTCTCTCTCTCTCTCTCTCTCTCTCTCTATATATATATATATATATATAAACAAATATCGTCTTCTTTTAAATCATTGTAATGTAGGTTAATAGATCAGTCAGAGGTAATTAGATTAATCAAAGTTAATGATAATCCATAACAGCAGAAAACTGTCTTTTTCTCCCAAATCATTTTTCCATGTGGTTGAATCTAAAAGCTTTCTTGGCTAATGTCCTTCTCGATTTAGATGCATGCTTTTATATTTTATTTTTTGCAAGACAGTATATCTAAATATCGAAACTTTATTTATTGCTTTTTTGTTTCTGTTATTAGTCCTTTGCATTAAGTAAATTATTTACATGCAAAGTCTTTTTTTATCTATAGGCCTATCTATTTTTTTTTTTCTTCATAATACGCATTGACTGTTTTGGCAAGTAGACGCAGCATTTTAACTGATTTCTTCAGCACATATTTTGCGGCTTATTTTCTTTGGTTAAGTCTCATATCTTATCACTAATTGCCAATTGCATTCGCTGCATCCATGGCTACAGGCTTTGGAATCCATTGTGCTTCGCCTCCACCAAGAAACCGCCTGCCTTTAGTTTCCTGTTTAGGAGGCAACAATGATCAGCTCAGCCCAGAACCTCATGTTCTCAAACTCCAAAACCAGTAATTTATCCCCAAGCATGTTTTTTCCCTTTAGACACCATCACTCAACCAATCTGTCACTCCTCCGGATTGAATTGAAGACTTGCTTTTGCTCTAAAAACCAATTAAGGCAAAAAGCAGTTGTTGAAAGAGGTGTCACCGCTGAACAGCTGTGTAAATATGAACAGTTCAAGCTGTTCGCCTCAGTCACGCTGTTTTGCTCCTGTCGTAGAGAGCCGAGGCTTGTTATTGGAAAGCTTCGGGCATGTTAGCACAGGCTGACCTGGTAACACAGCTGCTTTAGTGTCTTCAAGTAGTGTGTGTTATTAAACAGGCCGCGGTGGATCTGAATTACCGTTTGAGTGTACCAGCCTCGACCAAATCACTTTCGAGGAGCACTTGTCTTATCACAAACAACATTCCTGATTTTCTATTTCCCATCGATCTTTCCTCTTTTTCCAATTTGCTGGTAATTTAGTTGCGAGCTGTTCGCTCAGAGATGGGGTCGCTGACACACGCCTGTCAGTCTGAAACCTGGGAGAATTTTCCCACCTAAATCGAATCCCCCTAGGTGTCTCCCACATGAACGAAGGATTGCTTTCCCAGACGCCGGAGCTTATTCCTAGGCTCACGTTGATGGATGTGTGTGGGAGAACAGAGAGTTAATTATGGCTTGCAGTTTTTCGGTGTGTTTTTTTTTTTTTCCCAGGAGTGTGAAAATTCTCACCCAAAGCATTAGTTCTGTCTGCTTTCTTATAACCACACATTCGACCTACATACATACACAATGCACTCCGCCAGACTGAGTGTGAGAATTTGATGTGAAATTCAGGGATGTGCAAGTGTAAACACACATAGTCCAGGTTGCTGTTTTGCTGGGCCGTGTGTGTCGAGACAGTGGGGAACGTTCAGCAGTAAGATGTCTGTTGCTACTGACTCCATTTTGTCACTTGTGAGCATCAATCTGGTCGTCATGGCAACCCGGCTATTTCAGTGGCAGCACTGCTTCATCTCTTCGGCTGTCAGACCGCTCTCTCTCTCTCCATTGAAACGGGCTATTTTTAGCCAACCTTCCTTTTGTTTCTCGTGTACATCATCAAAGCGGCATTAAATACATGCGGAGAGGCGAATTGTGGAGCGTGAAGATTTGATGTGTAGACTTTTATGTTCACCTGTTTATGCGTAATGCACCAGGAAATTAGGAGAGGCGTATTAGAACTGTTTTAATTATCACAGCTCTTACATGATTTTGTCATAAAGATAAATTTAGCAGCTGTTACTGTGTTTGGGGGATTTTTTTAGCATCAGCTTTTTAGGTTACAATGTAAATGAGTGTAATATAGGTATGTATTTGTATGTATATGTAGGGTATATTTGTTTGTTTTTGTGGTTTCGTCAATGGTTTTCTCTTGTAATATCTTAATGTCATACTATATTCTTTATGTGATATGCTTTGGACAGAGGTGGGACAGGTTGGGGTTGGTTGGTTGTGTGGAAGAGCTTTAGTATGTGTGTATGTGTAAGTGTTTGGTGTTATTTTAAGGACCCCCTCGAAAATGAGATGTTTCATCTCAAGGGGTTATCCTCCAATAAAATGATGAAATGATGACGTAAAAGAGAAAGTGTTTCTTTTTTGTTTTATTAATTTAGTTGTATTAATTGTTTTATTCGTTTTTTTATGTTGAAGTGTCCAATAATCAAAACGGTGAACCAGTTGTATTTCTGACGTTTAAACTATGACAATTAAAAACACAATATTCTTTATATGAATAATTTATTCAAAATGTCATCTGTACATTTTGAATTTCTATTGTTATTAATCTTTTAGCATTTTTGTTGTTCACTTAAATGGTCCTGTGGTGTGACTAATGACTTTTTGATAGCATAAATATTGTATGTAGTCACTCTGCATGTTTGAAATGTAATTCTTTATTCATCTGTTTTCGATTCATTTAGCCTTTAGGTCAGTCAGATCCAGACTAGTAGTGAAGATAGTAAAATCTAATAGGTGAAACAAGAGTCAAATCCTGTTAGTTGGGAAGCCTGCAGATTTTACATTAAGGGTTATGAATATTGCAGATACCCTCAACAGAAATTCATGTGGTCTTACCTCATCAAAGATTTATGGGTAGGAATTTTAGCTCGTACTAGACAAACACTGTCGAAATATGCGGTTACCTGATCTCAGGGAGATGACATCATCTTTAAATACTGAGCAATTATTCAATCTGATAAATGCTTTATGCGTGCATATATGTGTACTATTCAAAAGTTTCAAGTCAGTAAGAGTTTCCTAAAGTCTCTTTTGCTCACAAAGGCTGCATTTACGTTTTATAATCGAATCTAGTTTGAAATGTCATTTATTCGTGTGATGCAAAGCTGAATTTTCAGCAGCATTACTCCAGTCTTCAGTGTCACATGATCCTTCAGAAATCGTTCTTTTAATATATCGATTTGCTGCTCAAGAAACATCATGATGAAAACAGTTGTGCCGATTAATAATTTTGATGGATAGAAAGGTCAAAAGAACAGCATTTATTTGAAATCGACATCTGCTGTTATGACGTAAAAGTCTTTACTGTCGCTTTTGATCAATTTAGGGCATTCTTGATGAATAAAAACCATATTGACCCCAAACCTTTGTTTGTAAGTATAGATAACACAGTTTAGGATAAGCAGGCAGATACAAATAGCATGTTTCATTAACACCATGACATACAGTACATTGTGATCCTAATGTGTTCGTTGTACATTCTGAAAGCTGGAAAGCTTCTTGTCACCTCTCCCATGTCAGCCGGGAGATACCAGGAGAATCTGTCCCCCCCCGCAGGGATGCCCTTTCCGATATAAATGGCAGAATTTATTATTAGCCAGTGCCCTTACCTGCCGAGGCCTCCATCAGCGTTGATGTGCGCTGGGGGGTGGGTCACATGCCGTGCGTCACAACTTAATAGAGCACAGACACGCTAGCCAGGCCTTCGAATGCATTAAGGTTCTTTGTTCCCCATAATGCACTTAATGCATCAGACAAGACCCTGCTTTTTTCCCTGTAGCCATTTAACCTGCATGGGGTTTTTAGGTGTTCACAAGCACTGTGAGCCGTGCTCCCGACGGGCAGCAGTCTGGCATTGTGTGTCTGGCAGCACTATTACGAGAATCGGGCCCTTGGTGAGGTGCCAGCTCCATGTTAAATGCTGACTGTTGTTTACAGCTCTGTGTTCGGTGTAATTATAAAAGCAGCAGAATGGATCTCCGCACAGCCACGGGTCTTGAACTTTACAGCTGCGGATGTGTGTGGGTTTGACGTCACGCGGCAGCTGGGAAAAGGGTTAGGAATCTGTGCGGTAACGTTGGCAACTTCGCATAGACCTATCAGGAGCTGCTGTTGTCACAGTAAACAATCCCAGAATGCAATTGGAAAGAATATGACCCAGAAAACTGATGACTGCTACAGTCTGGTTAATGAAGTTATTGATCTGTTTTTCACGTTACAATGTATGTTTATTGAAATTTTTCCTCTTGGGTGCTATGACGAAATTTTTTTTATTACATTTCTGTGTCGCTTCAATGTGTAAATGAATAATAGACCCATCAAAAACTCTCCTTTTTTCGAGTTGTTTTTAGGGAAACAACACACTCACGCATGCACACATTGTGTCTGTGGCAGTAAATGCATTTTGTTTCAAATAAATGAACTTTAGATTCACCAAAGAATCACGGTTTCCACAAAAATATGAAGCAGCATGATAATATTGAAATGAATGAATGAGCAGCAAATCCGCATATTAGAATGATTTCTGAAGGATCATGTGACGCTGAAGACTCACAGGAGGAGTCACAGTCAGGAATAAATGACATTTGAAAATATATTACAGTAGAGGACAACAGTTATTGTAATTGTAGTAACATTTGTCTATATGTTCAGATGCAAAAGCCTCTAAATGCCATTTGAAATGTTTTATCAAACTTGTATATTTAAGTTCAGTAATTTCACTTAAATAACAATTAATAGGTAAGTATCATTGCCATTTAAGTGAAATCAGTGAACTTAAATATACAAGTTTGATAAAAATCATCATTAAAGAAGAAAATTTCAAATGGCATTTAGAGGTTTTTGCATCTGAACTCTTCATATACAGTCTCAAATGTGTTAACGGCACTGCTTATTTTTTATTGGAGTCATTAACTGCGCTGATTGTTTTTGCATGTCTGCTTGTTCTCTCCGAGAAAACACAGCGATACAGGAGGCTTTGTTTGCCGTCGAGTCATGAGACTTGAGCTGCTCGTTTAACCATGTTCAAGAAGCCTCATGTTCCCTGTTAGCCAGACACTGGGGCCCGCTGGAGGCGCGCATGGCAGCACTGCTGTTGTTCCAGTTGGAGGAGGCCCTTCTTACGCTGCCTTTTTGACCTTAAGGAAATGATTACGGGCCAGGAGCTCTACTGTTGTTTTTGGACGATTGAGAAATCCTTGTCCTGCGTATTTATATAGCTTTGTTTCCTTTCGTCTGCATTCCACAGTGCCGCGGGGAGAACATTCCACTCTCCGGCCTCCTAATAGGGCTCAGGAAAAAGCACCAGGATATTTTACATCTGCGCCGTATGAGGTTTCCCCCTCCGTGCTCTCGATTTGACTTTTTCCATTTACAGTCATGGCCTGACAAACTGAAAGAATATAGGAAGAATAACCGCTCGCTTGTGTTCCGAAGAGCCTGGCGCGTATCACGTATTTATGGTCCGGGTTATTGGCACGGCGCACTGCATTTCTGCAGAATTGATGACTAGCCGAAACACACGGGGCCTTGTTAGAGTCGTAGGCCCGCAGTGGTGTGTGTGTGTGTGTTCTGGCAGTGATGAACCGGACTGCTGACTGCGGCAGGTGTCTGGTGGCCGGGCTGATATCTTCTCTCTTTGCAGGAAATGGCAGACTTCAGGACCAGAGCCCTAATAACCGGAGGTCTCCCGAGAGATACGTTGTGCAGTCTGTTGGGGTAAAGAGGTTCGCCATGGCAACAGCCGACAACGGCCAACCAGAGCGGTCCAGGTAATAATAGATCTCTTTTCAGAGCAGGAAGGCACACAACTCTCGGCCTTTCGTGTTTCGCCGTACACAGCGTGTTACCATAGTAGTGGACCTACATAACCACTTCTTTTCCCAAGCCAAAGGAATGCTTTTGTTTTATTTACGGTCTTGTCTTTTTAGTTTAAATACGCCTTCCTAATGTTCCATAAGCAAGTGTCGCTTAAAAACGGACGAAGCGCACACGTGTTTTGCTCGAGTGTCTCTCGCTGTGAGAGGCTTACCGCAACTTGTCAAAATGACAGTATAAGAGGCAGTGCGTTGATGTTAGTGGTTGACTTTGAATGTCTTTGCTCTTGGCCTCTGATGTAGCCAGGGAGATTCTCAATCCAACATGTTTTTCGGATCCCGTTCCAAACACTTTTTCCGCTACATCTGCAAATTAATTTTGGCCTCCTTGAAGATGATGTCATCCGGAGCAAGACACTTGAATTGGAGTTTATATAACTGTCTTGGGGCAAGCAGAAGACAGTTTGGCAGATGATGCTAGCAAACAGTACCTAAAAGGTTGTTTTTTTTTACGTTTACCATGGAAATACCATGTTTTTTTTGGCATACCATGTCTTTTTGGTTCTTTGACATTAGACTACCATATCAACATTAAATGGATTAGTGGTTGATCGATGGGACGATATGTAATACCATTTTTTTGGTTTTATTTTAAATATATATATATATATATATATATATATATATATATATATTAGGGCTGTCAAACGGTTAATCGTGATTAATCACATCCAAAATAAAAGTTAGTGTTTACATATATGTGGGTCCTGTGTGTATAATTATTTTGTATACATAAATATACACACACATGCATGCATATTTAAGAAAAATATTTGATTTATCTATAAAATATTTATATTTATACATAATATAAATTGTATATAAATCTATATACAGTATATACATGAAAATATTTCTTAAATATATACAAACATGTATGTGTATTTACATACAGTATATAGAATAATTATACACAGTGCACCCACATATATTATGTAAACATAAACTTTTATTTTGGATGCGATTAATCGCGATTAATCGTTTGACGGCCCAAATATATATGTATATATATATATATATATATATATATATATATATATAATTTCCTTAAGGATGCATTAAATTGATCAAAGTGATAGTAAAGACATTTATTATTTAAGAAAATATTTTTAATTTCAAATAAATGCTGTTCTTTGGAACACATTTTAAACATGTTTTTACTGTATTGTGATCAAATAAATTAGATATGTATGTGTATATATATATATATATATATATACACACACACACACACACACACACACACACACAAATGAAAATACATCTTATAATACACACACACATATTATACACACATATCTCATATATATATAGGGAGAGAGAGACAAAAATTGCCTAAAATATTGGCTAATTATATGCTAGATATGTCTGTCTATTACTTACATGATTATGGTAATCATATACAAAGTATATGTCAAGCTATCGTGATATTGCAACAGTCCTATTTTGTTAGAGGAGCAAAAAGAGTGTGTTTATTAACATAATATTTCAAATGTGTCCTTTTCAATAAATGTGGCAATACCTAGATTGCTGTTTATACTGTTTGTGATCTAAAGCCTCTCGAATGTTCTGCCGGCCGCTTTGAAATACAGTTTGTGTTGGTTTTTGCAAAAACAGAAGATTTTAAAAGAGTACATTTGCTTTCACTGCCCCCACCTCCCCTTTTTTTTTTTTTTTTTTTTTTGGGCAGATCAGCAGCTGCATTTTTCTTTCTCTTTTCCAGCCAGTATTTCTGTGTAACAGTAAGGTCTCTTCTAAAAAAAAAAAAAACAAGTGAGGGAGAGAGAAAGTCATACATCTGCAGGTTACCGAGTGTTCAACACAAGATGTGCACACACGAGCAGCTCTGGGAAGTCTCCGAGCAGCCTCTGGTTCCCATGGCAACCGTGGGGCGGTCTCTATCGGCTCCATCTGAGAATAGGTAAAGTAAATCTGCATGCATCTGGCCGCCCGCCAGCGTCTCAAATGAAAGAGCACTTTGAATGGCTGCCAGGTTTGGAGGAGGAGAGAGCCTGTCAGGCCTGCTTAATGTTGGCAGTTTGTACTTGGCAAGACTTGCCTTTTCCCAGAATCCCTCACTCTGGCAGCCCGCCAGCCACTTAGCGGAAGCTGAGAGTTAACCCCTGCGATAAGCTGGTGGAAAGCTGAATGTGGAAAACTTTCCATGCAGAGTGTGTGTGTGTGTGACCGCACATGTATGTGTGTGTGCTTGTGAGTGTAGGTGGGTGGATGTTCTGCACAGTGTGCGTGTGTGTGTGTGTGTGTGTGAGTGAGTGCCAAGCCTCAGGGTGATCTGTATTCATGAGAAGACTACAGGGACAGTGAAACATCCCTCAGTGAAAAGGGAGGGTGAAATATCCTTTAAAGGCAGACTGCATATGATTTAGACTTTACATTTTTTGCTAAAGGATTGCATTTTTTTTCTGCCCATAGAATCCCAGTTAAATATGTTTGGTGTTTTTCTCCGAAATATAAATATTTGAGTTCTACATATGGTCTTGTGTCGCGCAAGGGCGTTTGAGTGTTTGCAAAGTGAAGCCTGATTTCATTTTGAAGTCAAGTGACTCGCTCCAAGATCATTTGCACAAACACTCGTTTCTTTGTGTCGTTAATTTGGGGCACAAACGAAAGACATCAGGCTCATTTACACCATCCGAGTTACAAGCACACGGGGCACAAATACTGTCTCCGGCTTTACAAGCTGGAAGACATTCTGCTTGTCATATCAGTAGTGGTTATTTTATCCGTTTGACATCCAAATTCAGGCTCTGCCATGCTTGATGTACTGTATATATAATTTTCAGCGGAGGGAGAAAATCACATCCTCAGATTTGGCTCCTGCCTACTTGGTAGTTATGGGTTTTGTTTTTTTGCTTGGATAAAGCACAGCTTCTTTCTGTGCCAGCAGAATGCAGGGATTGCAATAAATGGCATTTCTCCTCTCCTCCAGACCTCCTTTGCTTTTTTTTTTCTCTTCCTTTGGTTTTTTTCACCCTGTTATACAACAAGACGAGGGGGTGGACATCATCTACGGGGTGTTGTTAAGCAAAGAATAGACTATGGGAAAGGGGCTTAAGGGGCGGAGCCGCCAAGCTTCCTCGTTTAAAGTAAACAAACACTCACGCAGACTGACCGATATTACCAGAAATATTATGAGTCTTTCATAATCATATTTATTAAATGACTTATAGATGTCAGAATATCTTCAATAGGTGTTGTTTATGTTTAAGGCAGCCTCTAGTCTACACCATGGAGCATAGATATTATTTCAAATGCTCAAAACTGTCTTGTGCATGTATGGCCACAATATGCGTATTTGTATTTTAAATTGTGTGCATTTTGCTGTTCTAAGCATTTTTTCCAACATGATCTCGCATTATTAATTGGACCACAGAATATGAAGCTTATGGACATTTTAGAAGCAATAAGAATCGACACTCTGGAGTCTGGAAGAAACATGAATACCTCAGATTTTCCACCCACAACTCTGGCTCTTGTATTCTGAAAGCAAACTGGCTAATGAGGTATGGCAAGCAGCTTGAACATGAATCGTTTTTTATTTGTTTTATAAAAATGAATATTTATTAGCTAAATTGTTTTTTTCCCCCTGTTTTTGTTATTAGTATGTGTTTGTATGTGATCCAGTAATGATCCATTTAATTTTCACTGGTAACTTTTCATTAGATTGTAATGTTTTTTTTTTGTTTGTTTGGTTTTTTTTTCCCAATAGTGATGAGTATCTATTAAATTATCATTTAAAACAATTTATCAGATTTATTCATTAGAAACTAGTATTGATCACATTTATTCATTAGATACTAGTACTTATATTTTTGGTACTATAGTCATTATCCCAATAGTGACAAATAACTATTATATTTTTGCTGGTAACATTTTGTTTTTTAAAATAGGCCTATCTGTTGGTCAGATATTAACTAGACTTGTTAGTGCTTATTTATTCGAGAAAAAATATATACTAATAAACACAAAAAATAAAATGTTTTACCAATAACAATGGAATAGTTACTTGCCACTATTTAGAATAGAGTGACATAAACTCTATTGTCAATACTACTGAAGTACAATTGGATTTACTTAATGTTAAATGAAAAAGTGCTAGTAACTAAAAAATAGATAATAGTAGCCTATGTTTTGAAGCATAAATGTTTAGCCTGCTTGCCATAATGGTGGCGGTGCGCGTTTCTCGGCCCATTCAGAAGATTTGTTAGGGAGTGGTTAGCGCATGCGCACTCGCATGGCAACAAGTGGCTTGTCATTTGTAACAGAAAAAGGAACTGCGGAACGTGGTGCTGACGTCACTGGCCCAGCCAGGTGGCATTCCGAGAAGCAGAAGAGGCGCATTCGCCTCCTAGTAACCGTATAACGGATCCGAGAGGAGCAGCTCAACATGTCTTCGGCGCAGGTCTCCTCGTCGAGGAGACAGTCGTGTTATCTGTGCGACCTGCCGCGCATGCCGTGGGCGATGATTTGGGATTTTACGGAGGCCGTATGCAGGGGTTGCGTGAACTACGAGGGCGCGGATCGGATCGAGTTTGTTATCGAGACCGCGCGCCATCTGAAGCGGGCTCATGGCTTCCAGGAAGGGAGATCCCCGGGTCCCGCGCCGCCGCCTGCGGTGAAAGCACAAGCGGGAATGTCATCCAAGGAGTCGGTGCAGATGAATCATGTGGACGGCTCGTCCAAACAGCAGCAGCAGCAGCAGCAACAACAACAACAACAGCAGTCCGGCTTGGACCGATACGCGCTCGGAACAGAGAGATCGCGCTTTGATTATTCCAGCATCGGCGCGCACAGGCTTCCGAACGGGCTCGGTGGACCGAACGGCTTCCCCAAATCAGACGACGGACCCCCTGAGCTGAACCGACAGAGCCCTA